ACTTAGTATTTTCCTTCTCTTCCAAGTGTGACTTGGTGCTTCTTTGAAATGAAGAGCTTCTGCCCACCACTAAAACGGAGTTAAGGATCTTTAAATAAGTTTAAGGAAGTTCTCTGGGTTTGTCTGTGTTGTGATTAACACCGTGCTTTTAAAACGTTCGTGTTGAAATGAAATGAGCTGCGTCCCCAAGCACCAGGGAAGATTGCTTGCTTTGTGAAGAGCGGATCCAGGCCAGTGGGTCGTTCTGGGCCAGCCCAGCCTTCTGCTCGGCCACCGAGCCAGACCCAGCCTCCTGATGTCCGCAGCCCGCTCTGCAGAGCTGGGCACACCTCGGAGGGTCCGAGGCCGTCTTTTGTTTGGGCTGACCATGTTTCATTATTTCTACACAAGCATACCTGGTATACTTTATACATGCATAATTAGGTGGTACATGCTTGGGGAAAAAAATCGCACGCTAAAAAATCTGGAAGCCACTGCTTTGGCAGGCCCTGAGCTCCATGGACTTGGCACGAGCGTAACGTGTATGGCAGCCCTTACGCACCGCACCTAGCGCCATCAGTGCTACTAACCTCTCTTCATCCTCTTTCCAGCATCCACCCGAACGCGAATGCAGAAGCAAAAACTGAATGATAGCATGGATACCTCAAACAGGGAAGAGAAGTGAGGGTCCCGGACCTGTGTGGGCACCGCGTCCGCCTCTGGCCTCATGGTCTCGCACAGATCACACCGTGCGACTCTCCCAGCTCTGTTTACGGCCACGCTGAGTACCTGTCTTCGGCTCTTCTGACGGATGTCAAGTGTGCCCAGGGGCTTGCGTGTGGTGTGCGTGCAGGGGATTCCTAAGCCACTTGCCATGTTGTAGTAAGTAGAATACACGTTGTTATTGCACAAGATTGAGAATCTTGTGTAAATACCGCCATTTAAAAAGTTGTAGTGAATGTTTCCATTTCCAAAGTATAATTGCTCTGCTCTACACACGGGGAGGACGCCCCGGGATGGCAGTCCGAACAACCCAGGCCTATTTGAGTACTTTGTCTTTTCTTGTGGCATATATGTGATGTTTGCTATTATTTTTATTAATTTATATTTATATATTTTTTAATTTAACATGAACGCCCTTAGAATATGTGTCCTGCCTTCCAAATGCAATTTGGCTGACTACTCCCCCTTCGCCCAAATGATCCTGAACTTCTCTGCTAAAACAGATATTAGAAACTAGAAAAAAAAAATCACTAATTTTTACACATTAGATTTTAGTTTACTAACGGAATCTGATGTACTGTGTTGCTTGTTTTATAAATTTTAGTTTTTAAACACAAGCAGAAAAAGTGTAAACAAATGATGTTGTCATACTACTGATACAGATTTCATACCTCAGGACTTGTAGGAATTTATTGATCCTTTTCTCCATCCAACTCATGCTTTAAAATAGTACTCTTGGCTTTTATGCCATTCAGATCACTGAATCCATGAAGTACCCATCTAGTACCTGGAAAATCAGGTGTTCAGTTAGAGCTGCGCTGTAGAGGACCCTCAGACAGTATATTCCAAGTGCACTTTCTAATATTTCTGGGTCCTGAAGAATCAAGATATAAAATAACTTTACTCCACAAACAGACTGTTAACTACCGGAGCCTTAATTTTGCTCTTCGAGGTTTGTGTAATTGCATCTCAGCAATTATTCTGCTCTCCTAAATTTGGGAAGGGATGTGTTTTCTCTGGAATTGTACATGTCTTCCATGTATCTCTGGAACTGGCAATTGTCTTCTTTTTTTTTTTTTTTTTTTTAAAGTCAGTATGGTCTAACACTGGCATATTCAAAGCCACATCGTTTCTATTCCAAAATTGCAAGTAGTCAAAGGTCTTTGGGTTAGGCACTCATGTTTCTGATTTTTTGCAAAAGCCTCAAGTGAAAACAGCTGTTTTAGAAAAAGAGGCGCTTCCCCCCCCCCACACCTAAAGGTGTATTTAAACTATCTTGTGTGATTAACTTATTTAGAGATGGTATAATTTAAAATAGGTGATATTTAAGGTAGCATCCGCTAGCTTTTAGGAAAATCACTTTGTCTAAACTCAGAGTTCTTTTTAAAAAGAAATCTGGTCTTATTTGTTAGAAAATGAAATTTTATTTTGTGCTCAGTTAAGTTTCAAACTTATTTTTGGCAGTTATCTTGATAACAAAGGCACTAGGAAGCTTTCTCCCATTTCCTCATTAATTTCTGCATGAATATCATACAAATCAGTTAGCTTTTAGGTCAAGGGCTACCATATTTCTGGATCTTTTGCTAATAAGAGTTCACATTAGAGTTAGTGCCAGAATTTTAGGAACTTCAGAGATTGTGTATTAAGATTTCTTAAATCATTATCTTCAGATAATGCTTTATTGCTTTTTGTATTGGTTAAAACTGTACATTTAAAATTGCTATGTTACTATTTTCTACAATTAATAGTTTGTCTATTTTAAAATAAATTAGTTGTTAAGAGTCTTAATGGTCTGATGTATTCTTTGTATCAAGTGTACTAATGTTCTCTTCTGTATCCAAGTTCTCTCCTGGTGTCTCATCCGTTGTTATTATTTTGAAGATTTTATTTATTTGACACAGAGAGCACACAAGCAGAGGGAGCTGTAGGCAGAGGGAGAGGGAGATGCAGGCTCCCCACTGAGCGGGGAGCCCGATGTGGGGGCTCCATCCCAGGACCCCGGGATCCCGACCTGAGCCGAAGGCAGACATCTAACCAAGAGCCACCCAGGGGCCCGTCTCATCCATTCTTAATAGCCTTTAATTGGCTTCATATGCTGATGATCCCCAAATTGATTTCCCCATCCTGACCTCCCTCATGGAGGTCCAAGCCCTCAGAGCCAGTAGAACTCTTGACTCTCACTCCCTTCCCCCACTCCCTGAATTCACAAAATAGAAACCAAAGTCAGGCCAAGCACCTTGTTTCTACCCCAGTCTTTCCCCATTTTACTAAACACTTACTGGTCGAGCCAAACTCCTCAGAGCCATTTATCCGCTTTTCTTGAGAGCACTGTTTAGACTCCTCACTGGCCTCCGTGATCCCTCCCTTTCCTCCCCGCCTTTCAACATAAAAGCAACAGTGATTCCTTCAAAACAGAAATCGATCCCCACTGCTCCTGGAGTGTGGGTGTGGGTGTGGGGCGCCTCGCCTTCCCTGCCAGCTCCTTGCCCCTGCCCCCTGGGCCTCAGCCCACTGCCCTCTCTCCCTCCTGCCAGCCTGGCCCCCCTCCGCTCTCACTCTTGCTCTTTCGCCTTCTGTCTGGAGAGCTCTTCTGGAATTTTGCCTGGCTGGTTCCTTCCCGACCCGGGGCCCATCCGCTCAGAGGCCTGCCTTGACCGCCCGCCGACGGCCTTCCCGGGCGCTGCTCTCCTTCAGGAGCGGAGGGCGGGCCTCTGCCAGCCTCCCTCCCCGGGTGGGCGCTCAGTTGGCTGCTCTCACGGCTCTGGCGCCTGGAGGAGGCGGTTTTCAAAACCAGAGTGGACTTTGCGTGTTTTCCCAAGTATATGGAGACAAAAATCATATTCTCTTCCTCTTTTCATTTGCCCTGTACTGAGCGCCTCCCACTCCCGGGCGCGGTTCTAAGTCGGGGTGCAGCAGGGGTTGGATGAGGCCAAGGTCCCCATCTCTGCGGAGCTTGCTGCGTAGGGAGGAGAGCCAGGAGGAAACCAGGAGCCCACAGGGCGTCCGGCGAGGGGACGCGGCGAGGACCCGGGAGGTGCGCCGGGGTCAGGAGGGGCTCCCGGGGGTCTCGGAGCCAAGCCTGGAAGGAGGCAAGGAAGCAGGGCAAGCCATGGAGGGGGGCGGCGGGCAGAGCAGAAGAGCCCGACGGGCCGGGGGCCGCGGGGGCCGCGGGAGCCACAGGGCGTCCGGAGCGTGAGAAGCAAGAGCCTCCCTTCATCTAATGCAGAGTCTGTGTTAAAGGCTTTTCCTCAAAAAAATAACAATAAAAAAATAAAGGTTTTTCCTCAAATAAAATAAAGGCTTTTCCTCCCAAGCATCCTGTACGTGTGCATACAGAAATACGGGAGATACACATACACGTATCTCACAGGTCCACAGTCTCTTACCTGCGATTCTGAAATCCCAAAGGCTCAAAACCCCAAGTGGTCTGTGTGTTTGGTGACAAAGGTCACGTGGCATCAAGAGTGGATCTAAACTGACGTAGCGCTATTTACAGCCTGTATCCCATTTAGTAGGAATATTGTTTCCCTACAAAAATATTAATACGTTGGTTTTGGGGATCGAACCGAGGCCCCACTCAGGTATTACGTACCCTGTGGTATACGTGCCTGCCGTGTGTGCTAAACCCCAGAAAAAGTGTGAGGTGCATCTGGCACCGAGGGTTTCAGGTAAGGGATTACCTTGAACTTCGGTAGTAACGGCCGCCCAGCAACAGGGTGGAAAGTGAGATCGTCCCCCCAGACAGCAGCGTATTCGTCCCTAAAGGAGGCAAGGCAAAGGGCTGGGAGCAGGACAAGCGGAAGGCAGACGTCAGCGGTCGGCGTGCATGTGGGATGGGGACCTTGGGGCAGAACCGAGCAGCCCTGGGGACGCTGGAGGAGGTCAGTCTGCGTGACAGTGGCCACTTCCAGAGACTCCGTATTCCGGTGGCCAAAGCTCTTACAGTCAGAAGGACTGTTCAGGTTCCTTTATTCGCGTTCTTCTCCTTACAGTTCTCAGGTGCGCGTGGTGGGGAGGGAGACCCCACGGACTGGCTCTGCCACTATCTGGGTGACTTCAGGGAGACCTGCCCGTCAAAGCAGATTGTCGTCCCTCACTTGTGGGCTAGTGTGCACGGCGTCAGTAAGGCTTCATCCGGGAGAATGTTCCTTTGGACACGTGTATTCTGCAGGACAGCAGGAAGCCCTGCCTGTAGGAATACCAAGTTTCCAGCACCAGTGAGCGCCTTACCTAGAAATGTAACCTGGTTATGCTGTGTCATGTCCCAGCGCAGTGAAAACAACCTTTATATTTTTGGGTGCATTTTTAAAAAAGATTTTATTTATTTATTCATGATAAAGAGAGAGGCAGAGACACAGGCCGAGGAGAAGCAGGCTCCCTGCGAGGAGCCCGATGGAGGGCTCGATCCCGGGACCCCGGGGTCACGACCCGAGCCAAAGAGATGCTCAACCACTGAGCCACCCAGGGATCCCTGAAAACCTCTTTTAACATGAGTCTGGATACTCTTGGAAACCTTTTTCCGCGTTATTTTAGGAGAGTCTCCGCACGGGCATGGACCGGTGAGGTGGTGAGCGTGAAAGGTCAGTTGATCCCACAGACCAACATCGCTTATTTCCTCAGCAGAAAGTACGTGATTTCACCGGAATTAGGGAGACAGAACGGGTGTGGCTCCTGTCTTTGCGTCGTGGCGAAGACTCAGAACTAACAGGTGCGGGGTCTCATCCTCGCAGCTCCAAGTTAGGGACGTGGGGGCCGGTGCTCTAGCATCGCGACCCTGCAGCGGACCGAGGCCTTCTCTCCCTCCAGGTCAGCGGGGACGCTCGTCCCCAGGCCGGCCAGGGGCGCGGCCCCCTCCCCCCCCCCAGGGCGGCGTCAGGGCGGCACAGCCACGCCGGCTGCGGACAGGCTTGTGAGGGGGGGCACTTGGGGAAGGTGACCCCGTGTCCTCGGCTCGGCCTTCAAGGCCCTGCCAGGGCGTTACTCAGAGGCGGGTCCCCGGCCCGGGCTAAGGAAGCGGGAACCGTGACAAACTGCACGGTTTGGGTGCTGGGACTCTACAAACGCTGCTAGGGCTGTGACCCCTCCCCAGGAGGGTGCGAGCGGTTCTCTTCAGGGGCGCCCCCACCCCCACCCCGGGACGCCCAGGCCTTGAGGGTCACGGCGCGACTCCCCTACTCGGCCAAACGGCGCAGTTCCCTGGGGAGCTTTTTAAACGTCCTGGATCCGGCGGGAGTTGCACAGGTGCTGCTGCGGGCCAGATGCACCGAGCGAGCCGCAGCAGCGCAAACCGCACTAGCGGAGCTGAGGAAATGGAAAACAATCCACCCAACCCCTAACACCCGTCCTCTGGCAGCGGGGCTCCCCCCCCCCCCGCCCCGGGCGCAGTTCAGCGACGGGCAGGCCGTTTCCCCCGGTTCCTTCCAGTGTTCCGACAGGAGAGGATGTCGCGGAACAAAGAGGCACCTAGAAGCTTCTCAAGAGCCGGGCAGAAACGGGCAGGAAAGGAAGAGGTGGTTGGGGGAGACGTCACGAGGTGGTGAAGGCGCCGGTGAGCGCCAGGCAGCCTGGGGAGGAGGGAGGAGCCAGCAGTGCAGGGAGGAGGGGAGGGGAGGAGGGCGGAGCAGCAGTGCAGGGGAGGAGGAGGGAGGGGAGGAGGGCGGAGCCAGCAGCGCAGGGGAGGAGGAGGAGGGGGAGGATGGAGCCTGCAGCGCAGGGGAGGAGGAGGAGTTGGAGGAGGAGGGAGGAGCCAGCAGCACAGGGGAGGAGGAGGAGGGGGAGGATGGAGCCAGCCACGCAGGGGAGGAGGAGGAGGGCGGAGCCAGCCATGCAGGGGAGGAGGAGGATGGAGCCAGCAGTGCAGGGGAGGAGGAGGAGAATGGAGCCTGCAGCGCAGGGGAGGAGGAGGAGGAGGAGGAGGAGGAGGGAGGAGCCAGCAGCACAGGGGAGGAGGAGGAGGTGGAGTGCGCAGGGGAGGAGGAGGAGGGCGGAGCCAAATGCGCAGGGATGAAGGAGGAGGAGGAGGGGGTAGGAGGAGGGAGGGGGAGGAGGAGGAGGGGAGGGAGGAGCCAGCAGCACAGGGGAGGAGGAGGAGGAGGGCGGAGCCAGCTGCGCAGGGAAGAAGGAGGAGGAGGGGGGAGAGGGCGGAGCCAGCAGTGCAGGGGAGGAGGAGGGAGGAGGAGGGGGAGGAGGGCGGAACCAGCCGCGCCAGCCCCTGTCCGGACCCCCGCCCGCGGGCGCCGCCGTCCAGTCCCGAGTGGGCCGCGGGCCCGAGGGCAGTGGCGGGTGGCGCAGGAGGCCCGCTAGGATCCCGCGGGGGCGGGGGGGGGGGGTCCGGGCCGCGCGGGGCCTCGCGGTCAGGAGCAGCCGCGGGCAAGGACACGGACCGCGACTCGGCTAGACGGCGGGGCCCAGGGTGCGCCCTGCGGGTCGGGGCGCTGCCTCCCAGACGGCCGCCGTCAGGTGCATCGACGGGACGGACGAGCCGCTGAGGTCCATGGACCTTTGCGGCTGCTCAGGGATTTCTGAGGCGGCTCGCGTCCGTCCTGCGGTCCGCAAACAAGCGCTTTACTGTGGGATAGTGGAGCGTCAGGCCCGGGTTTCCGGCCCCAAGGCCGCCCGCACACGGCCCGTGGAGGACCCGCAGCAGCGCGCCGGACGGCCGGGCCGCCCGCTGTCGCCGACCTGCCGCGCCCCACGCTGCCCCGCCTCGGCCAGGGGAGGCCTGGGGAGGCCGCCGTGAGGGCCGGCGGGGCCGGGGGGCCGGGGGGCCGCGGGGTCAGCGCCGCTGCGCGATCCCGCCGCCCCGGCGACAACGTAAGGGCGACGGTAAGGTGGGTCCTTGGGGCTCGGCCGTCCCCGCCTGGAGCCAGCTGGGGGGCCGGGGGCGGGGGGGGGGGCAGCGCGGCGTCCGGCTCCGGCGTCTCGGGCGTCTCGGGCGTCTCGGGGGAGGACGCGGTCGCGGCGGCGCCCGCGGCTCAGTTCTTGAAGGCGCCCACCCGGCTGGCTCTGCTGATGAAGTTCTTGAGAAGGTCGTGGTCCATCTCCGCGAAGCCCGGCGTCTGCGTCACCACGGTCAGGTGGTTTATGCAGAAGCGGAAGCAGAACTCCTCTAGGTCCTAGGACGACAACGACACGGACCACGTGTGACCGCGGCGCCCGCACCCGCCTGACACGCGGGGAGACGGCGCGTGAGCGCCCGCGCAGCCCCCGACCCGCGGCCTGGGGGGGGGGGCAGGCGCGTGTGCGTGCGTGTGTGTGCGTGCGTGTGCGTGCGTGTGTGTGCGTGTGTGCGTGCGTGCGTGTGTGCGTGTGTGTGCGTGTGTGTGTGTGCGTGCGTGCGTGTGTGCGTGTGTGCGTGTGTGTGCGTGTGTGTGTGTGCGTGCGTGCGTGTGTGCGTGTGTGTGCGTGTGTGTGCGTGTGAGGCACTGCCCGCGGGTGACCCGTGTGGGGCTGTGGGGGTGAGGCACTGCCCTGGGCGCTCCGCGTGGGGCTCCGCGCCCACCCACGTGCGCGCGTCGGCGGGCAGCTGCTTCTAGAACAGCGAGGGCCCGGCAACCCGACACGGAATCCATAGTGGGGGCCGAGAAGCAGCCCGCCCGCCGCCCGCCGCCCGCCGCCCGCCACGCCGGCCCGAGGCCCCGGCCCCTCACGGCTCCCGGCAGGCGCCGCGGCAGGGAGCGGCCGCACGTGGAGGTGCCCGCAGGGCGGCGGCCGAGGCCCGGCGCGCCGCTCGCCGTCCGCCGTCCGCCGTCCGGATCCCAGGGCGGCTTCGCTTCCTCCAGGCGTCAGCGGCGAAAAGACCCGAGGGTGCGGCCGACCTGCCTCCCGCGACGCAGGGGAAGCAGAAGGCGCGGTGGGGGCGGAAGCGCCCGCGTTCTCTGGCGGGCGAGTCTCCTCCTTCCTCATACTCCGAGCTCCCCAAGTTCTCTTCAAGAGTCAGAAGCCTGTTCCCGCCACCACCAGGTCCCTGTTTCCGACCGCAGGAGGGGGCGTCCCTGCAAGGAAGTCCCCGCCCCCAGGCCTGCTCCCCGCCGGCGCGCGCCTCCTCTCGCACGCGCCGACACCACCGCGACCCCGCACGGGCGGGCGGCCGGGACGGCCTTTCCTCCAACGTGTAGGTCGCGGACTCGAGTCTCTTTACGTTCAGCTTCTCACTCTTAGACGTAGGCGCGTGCTACGCGCAGCGGGCGGCTACCGGGCTCACGACGAGTGGCTCTTCTCCATGACCCGTTTGTCCTTCGGTCCGGGCCTTTCCGTCCGGCTGCTCGCGCTCCGTTCTGCTCCCTCGGGGCCCCGCGTGGCGCCGGGGGACGCCGGGGGACGCCGGGGGGCGCCGGGGCAGCCGCTTCCCGCCTCCACCTTCCCGCGTTCCCTTCCCGATCGTCGGGCGCGGCCCTGGGCGGACGCACGTGCATTCCCCTCCCTGGAAGCGCGTCCGCCAGTCCCGTCCCCTGGCCGGCGCCCTGGAGCCCCCGTCGCGCCTACCCCCTCCCCGGACCCCGACCCCCGCCCCCCCCCCCCCCGCGGGCTGCGGACCTGGGCGTCGTACTTCACGGCGGCCGACAGCAGGGCGATGGCGTTCTCCTCGCAGATGCCCTGCTTGATCGTCTGCTGGCACAGCCTCTTCAGGCGGCTCTCGCGGTAGAAGGTCGCCAGGTCCAGCAGGCCTGCGGGAGGACGGCGCCGCTCAGGCCGGGGGCGCCGGGAGGCAGGGGCTCGGCCGGAAGGCGAGGGGAGGCCTGCCAGGCCCCCGCAGCCCTGGGAGCACGCTCCGCACCCCCCCTGCAGTCCTGGGAGCACGCTCCGCACCCCCCTGAGGCCCCAGGAGCACGCTCCGCACCCTCCCTGCAGCCCTGGGAGCACGCTCCGCACCCCCCCCCTGCAGCCCTGGGAGCACGCTCCGCACCCCCCTGAGGCCCCAGGAGCACGCTCCGCACCCTCCCCGCAGCCCTGGGAGGACGCTCCGCACACCCCCCTGCAGTCCTGGGAGCACGCTCCGCACCCCCCTGAGGCCCCAGGAGCACGCTCCGCACCCTCCCTGCAGCCCTGGGAGCACGCTCCGCACCCCCCCGCCCCTCCCGCACCCCCCCCCCGCCCCTCCCGCACCCCTCACCCCTCCCGCACCCCGCGGCCACCGCGGCCCAGACGCAAGGGCTGGCTGATGAGGCCTAGCGCCAGAGAGCCTGGACGCGGGGACCGACACTCGCTAGGTCCACCCCCCCCCCCGCCCGGCTGCGCCGACCTCAGGTCACGGGTCCACGCGAAGCACCGGGAGCCGCGACTTCACCCGTCGTACAACGGCAACTGTTTTCCCCGTCTCTCTGCTACTAAGGGGGGGAGGGGGGTCTGGGCGGGAAACCGGTGTCCACGGGAACGGGACCAATACCGTTAAAATCAGAGAAGACCGGCCCGCGGCCCAACGGAGGAACCGCAATCTTTCTTAATCTGGGAGCTGTGACGGCTCCGTTGTTTCTGGCCAGTTCTTGGAAACTCCCAAATTCCTATCCATACCGCCCCCCCCCCGCCCCCCAGCTTCTCGATCACATCAGTGCACACCCACAGGTGCCGCCCTCAGGGAAGCCCCGGCCCTGAGCCCCTGCTCAACACAGCCCGGACCTGCACCCCTCCAGGTGCAGTCCTCACCACAGCGGCCCAGGAGCCACGCACCCGCTCCTAGACCACACTTGGGGCACCCGGGGCTCTGGAATCCCCTAACTGGCCCGGAGGCCCCTCAGGTGGACGTTCCCTCCCCTCCAGACCAGGCCGCCAACGCACAGATGCCCAGCCGCAGGTGCGGCCCAGGATGGGGGGGCTTGTACACCCCCCAGTGCAGGCCACAGCTGGACGCCTGGGGTCTGTCCCTCTGTGCGCTCCGGAAAGCAGCTCTGGACAGCCCTAAAATTCTAAACTGCAACTAAAACTCAAGCCTGGCGGTGCAGTTCTCAACGAAGGTCTATTTTTCAAAGTGAGGATTGAACCTATTTTATCTGCAATCTGTTAGCTTAACATAGAACTTTGCATTTTTAGACAAATGTACAAGGGCCTTTATTTGGATTCTCACCCAGGGCCCTGCAAATACTCCGGGGGGGGGGGGCTACAGAAAAATTGCCACACGGAGTCTAAGACGGACTCAAACTCTAGGGCAAACCCTGTCCCTTCCCGTCGTCGTCCTCAGCTTAACGAATGATCCCTCCATTAACCCAGCTCCTGGGGCGAGCACCCGAAAGCCGGGAGCCTTCCCTCTCTGGCTCACACGTGTGCCCCCCGGAGCAAATCCCCGCAGCTCTCTGGTTACCAGCTGTCGGGAGCGACGGCGACAGCTCCAGCTACACGGCCCTGACCCAGGGCACAGCCACCTTGCACCTGGACCATCCCGGCGGGTCTGACAGACACACGAGCTGCCCCGCAGTGGGGCCCCAGCTCTGGTCAGAGTGGCTCCAGGTAACCCAGGACACGGCACTGCGGAGGGGAAGGGGGGCCGGGGGGCCGCGCTGTGGGCGCGGCTGGTGCGGCCTCCCTGGAGCCGCGGGCGCTCCCCAACAGGCAACCGCTGCCTGCGCCCCAGCATCGCGCTGCGGGCTCCTCGCCCCAAGGACCCAGCTCACCCGGCTCCGGGGCGCACGTGCCCGACGGCCCACGACTGCGGGAAGGAGGGCTCGGCGGCGGCAGGACGCGGCCTCACGCGGCCCCCACGCAAACTGAAGGCTGCTCCGCCCACGAGGCGCCCTGGGGTCACTTCCAAACTCGAGGGCAGAGCTCCGCCTTTGGTCCCCCCCCCACCACGTGACCCTGGTGGCACCCGAGAGCGACGTCCGCTCGCGCCTCTTCCCGGACCTGAGCCGGGAGGCCCCGCGGGTCATGCCACGGGCGTGGACTCCCTGCGCACCGCACACGCCCCAGGGGCAGCCAGACCCCCGCTCTCGGGCCGCCCCCTGCTCCCGGGGTGCCCCCGCTCCTGGCCCCCCCCCACTCAGCACCTGGCACCCGCTTCCGGGGCACCCCCGCTCGGCACCCGGCACCCCGCTTGGCACCCGGACCTCCGCTCCCGGGGCCCCCCACTCGGCACCCGCCCCCCCCCCCCCGCTCCCACGGGCCCCCCTTGCTCCCGACCCCCCCATGCTCAGCACCCGGCACCTCTGCTCCCAGCCCTCTCCAGCGCTCGGCACCCGGCACCCCTGCTCCCGAGGCCCCCCGCTCCCGCCCTCTCCCCCTCCCCCCTCCCCCCGCTGCTGGGGCGCAGGAGCCCCGCGGAGCCCCGGCCCCCACCTACGGCCTCCTCAGGGGGCAGGCTGACGCGGACGGTGTACAGGAACTCGAGGAAGGCGCGGTAGACCGGGTACGAGAACTCGCTCATCTCCACCGTGTCGTCCTCGTGGTCCTCCAGGGAGGAGCGGAAGTGCTCACACCTGCAGGGCACAGAAGCGCGAGGCCTCGCCCGGGGCCCCCCACCTGCGGCCCTGCCCCCCCACCCCTCCTGCCAGGGGTTGGCCGCCCCGACCTCAGGACACCCGGTCCTTGGAGCAAGGGTCTTTACGGGGTAACGGTGGGGTGGGGCAGCCCGGGCACGGGGCGTGACCGTGACCTCGTGAAAACGGGGCGCTTGTCTGCGGGGCTCAGCGGCTGAGCGTCTGCCCGCGGCCCAGGGCGTGGCCCCGGGTCCCGGGATCGGGTCCCGCCTCGGGCCTCTCCCTCGGCCGTGGTCTCTGCCTCCCTCTCTGTGTCTCTCAGGAATAAATAAATATAATCTTAAAAAAAAAAAAAAAACAATGCGGTTGAATAACTATAAGGAATATTAATTAGAATTTATGGGATGCACAATTCATGGAATTCACCAGAGCACACAGAGACCTTTGAGACAGTGTTGCCTGCAGGTATTCACGTCCAAACACAAGGACACAACCCCGCCAGCCCTCCCGGGTGCTCCCCGCACGGACACCTGATCCCCAGGCTGGGCTGTCCGCTCCTAGGGCGAAACCCGCCTCCCTTCTTCCCTAACTACTGACGGGCCTAGGCCGCCTGGGACCTAATAAAGGTACTTACTTCAATTCTCAAAAGAAAGGATTCCTTACCTAATTTTGAGCAGCACTTTATGCGCGTAAATGTACTTCCCATCCACCAGGAATTTCAGGTCCGCCGTGTTGGGGTTGTCAAATTCCCTCTTGAGAGACTCGGCCACTGTAAGGTGGTCGTCGGGTTCTACGGGAGGAACAGCAAAGTTTCTAGGGTCAAGGTGGATGGAGCAAAACTGCAGGCAGCCTCTCACACTGCTCTGGTGACACTCTCGAAAGTACCCAAGATAAGTGACCAACAGGGCAACGCTCCCCACCCCCACCCCAAAATACGGATTTTCACCGCTCTACCATCAATGAAGGATAAGAGCCTCACCCACATCTGCTTGTAAATCTGGCAAAACAACTAAAAAGTCCCAAACTGCTCCACTCCGTGAAATGTTTGCATGTTTCAGTAAGTAAGCCGGCTACGGACAAAGGTACACTTTCCCAGGGAAATTAAAAGCAGTCAACTAAAACTGCCTTGAATTTAGTACGTGATGTTGGTTTCTGATACTTCCAAGAAAAATTAATCCATCAAAGTAGTTTCCTTCCACAGGAGCCCACGAGAGAGAACTGAGTGCGACGCTGCGCCCGAAAAAGTCGTTACTAGCACCCTAAAAGCACCAGAGTCATCTCCCCAGTTCCGGGCAGTCCCCCGAGGGGATGAAGCACCGCTCACCCACGGACAGGAGGCGCCACGAGACGGCAGGCGTGGCGAAGCAGGCGAACACGTCGTCGGTGCAGGAGAAGTGGGTGAGGTGAGGCAGGACCACCGACTGGCCCCGGCACTGGCCCCACATGTACACGTGCCCGCCCTGGGTCTTGGCCGCCGACGTGTGCGCCGAGTGGCAGGCCGCGATCTCCACGATCCTAAGTCCACAGACAAACAGCAGGTGAACACGGCAAACGGGAGAAGAGACAAGCTGACTCCTCCGTCCCTTAGCTTTATCTGCTTTCAAAACAAAACAGAACAGGAGGAGGCTTAGTGGCCTCCATTTCCAGGCACCGAACACTTGTTTCCAGGCCAGCTGTCCCTCGGCGGTGCAGCTCAGGAAGACGGGCTTGGGGGCACTTCTGGCTGCTTCTGTAGCCTCCATGGCAAGATGCAAGAACCCTCCCAAGGGAATGGAGACCCAAACAAACAGATTAACCCAACGGTGGTCTAATTTTTTTTTTCTTAAAAAAGGACTTAAATAGATTTAAAAAAAGGACTCAGGCTACTTACTTAACCCAGGTCTTGACCCAGTATCAAGAAATATTTTCATCAAAATTTCACCAATTTTAGCGTCAGCCAGAACTCGCCGTGGGCCCCCCTCCTACCTTCCGGGGCCTAGGGGCGCAGGTTCCCAAAACTGACACACGTTCGAGCCCCCTGATTTTGCCAGGGACCTAGTTCTCGGCTTCCTTCCTAATGGAAAACTCTGGTTTTGGTGATTTGGAACTAGTTACTCTGCTCCGAGCCTACGCCGCCACGCAGATTCAGAGAAGAGGGTAAACTGCTTTCCCCCGAGGCAGGTCAGCATCCTGCCTTTGCCCCAGTGCCCAGGGTGCCCGCACCCTCGGGCCGGAGGTGCAGAGCTTCCGACTCTGCTGGGACTTCCTCCCGCTTCCTGCTCAGAATAGCCACTGACAGGTGACAGCTGCTCGGACTCCTGCCATCCGCCTCCACCCCAGGTCAGTCACACCACGTACGTGCACCAAGGGACAGCCTGCTCGGTGTCCCTGCCTCAGACTCTCTCTCTCCTCTGAATCGGCTGCACAAGGGCTGAAGACCCCAGGCTCCCCATCGGTGCCTTCGGGCCAGCAGTGGCTTCCCACAAGATAGGATTGAGGCACGTGGCACGAGGCCCTAACACAACTCGCCTCTGTCTGTATCCAGCCCCCTTTCGAACCACACTCGCCTCCGTCCTCCGGGCGCCAACACACAGAGGTACTCGCTGCCCCTCAATATTCTTACTCACAGTTCAGGCAGCTTGTTCGAGAATGCTCTTTCCTTTCTGCCTTAGAAATCCTGCCCATCTTTCAAGGCCCAGCTCAAACAGCCCCGAAGTAGGAGGCCTCTGGTTCACCTGAGCCCCGGAAGCACGGCCTGGGTCGTACCTACCCAGCGGGGCTGCAGGTTCCTGGCAGCCCGAATCACTGGCTTATTCCTCCCCAAGTGTGTTTCTCTCCCCAACATGGTGTCTGACTAAGCAACTAAAAGGTCATTTTATGGACTAGCTGGGAAACACTCAACAACCCAGAGCAACTGAGGGGTGGGTAAGACCCCGTGACCGGCTAGCCGTGGGAGGATGGAGACGTCCCTGGATGTCTAACCGGATGCCTCCCAGCCAAGGAGGGAAAACGGGCATCACACAGGCTGGAGACCGCTCTGGTGGCTTGCGTCAGAAGGCTGCAGCGCAGCGCACGGATTTTACAAGTGGCCCAAGTAATTTCACTGATTTATTCAAGGGCTGCTTTCTGGACAACAGGAGAACTAACTAGAAAAGAGGCCACAGCGTGCCAGGGTGAAGAGCCTAGACGCTGGAGTCCAGCGGGCCCAGGGGCGCGTCCGAGCTCTACCATGAGGCCAGGTGACCGTGGGAATGTCCCTGAGCCTCTCAAAGCCTCATTTTCATCACATGCAAGGCAAGGACCTGAGAAGTGATCAAATACACCACGCACGGTGTCTGGTGTACAAATAGCAGCCAGGAGCAGAGCTTTCTTGACAGGATTCCTGCTAAGTGTTCTCGGCAGCAAAGCCTCCCTCATACAGAGCCTGGACATTTCCAATGATCGATTCGGACACTGAGACCTTTCCTGGCTGCACAGTTAAGTCCACGACTGGCCCCGAACCTCAGCCGTGGACTTTACAAATGAACCTTCCATGCCCACACCAGGAAGATGGCCAATCCTATTTGGCTTCTCTTTTCAACAAATAAAGAAAAAAGGGGAAGGAAATAGAATAAATATATTCATTCAAAGAAAGGGCATCTACTCTTACCATCTACCCTCACACGTTACATCAAATGTGAGAGCAGCCACCTATCTCATTTTGTACACCTTGCTGCAGTGGCCAGGGCACGGGCTGGGGGTCAGAGGGCAGCCTGTGGGGGCCGAGTTACCTAAACTCTTATCATCCATTTTATTCTTAAAAAAAAAAAAAAAAAAAAGGCGAGGGAAGAGAAGACAAGATAGCAATCGTTTCACGGCCTTGTGGTGAAGGGTCAACGAAACCAGCTCCCCAGCACAGCGCACATTCACAGCCAGCTTCCTCCGGAGACTCAAGTGTTTACCAGCGGTGGCAGGAGCTCTGGGAGACCGCTTAAAATCACCTCTTTTCCCTGATAATGTTCTATGAAAAATGTAACGGGTGGGAACGAAACAGCGTCCTTCCACCCAACATCAGAAAACCAAAATGCTTTAATTCCGACATTGGCTTCTGGGATATCTTTACCAGCCTCCACGGAAAAGGGAGCATAGCCTCTGCCCTTACAGGAGGCAGGAATGCTGCTTCGTGGAGAAAGGGTGGAACAGACGTGGCAAAGGGCTCCGGTGTGGAAGGCGCTGGAGCGTGGCCTCCCTGAGCCAGGGGACGTTTACCTGAACACCCAGCAGCTGCACGGGAGGGAAGTCAAGGGTGGGGCACGGGCTGGGCTGACGGCAGCAGCCGCTACAGGAACAAGAGTGGAGACAGTTTAGAGGGAGCCTTCAGGCTGAGCGTGGGACCCAACCAACTGCCAAGGCATCCCGTGGTTGCCTAAGGTCATCTGTTCTTAAATCAGATTCGTACCAAGAAGCCAATTCGGAAGCTCAGACTCTCCAGTCTAATATATAACAGACGGTGACTGTGGACTGAGCTCACCTCCACTTGTCAGGGTGTCTGGCATATCTCACATTTTATTTTGCAGCCATGCGTAATGAAGAGAAGGTACTACACGTTCATGATGAAGGAATTTTGTGTCCCCTCCACGGAATGATCCCCAAGGACCACAGCTTAATGGCCGTGGTACTAGAAATGAAAACGCAGAGACTGAGGAACAATGTAAAACAGAAAACGAGGAGGAGAGAAAAAAGGTGATTTGTGAGCGAGAAGAAGAGTGAGGGACAAAGGATGATCATAAAAGGTCCAGAGCAGTCATTCCCAAGCCTGGCTTTGTAAGAGGCCAACGTCATTGCAATTATCACAAGGTGTCACAAAATTCACGGAAACGCAAGGCAAAGTGAGTTTTAACTCAATTTAACTTCAAAATATGCTTTTATGAAACTTCAGGAACAAAGACAAATGCTGGTAAATCAAAGTATTGAGACTTCAGAAAGATTGGGAACGACTGGATTAGAGAGAAGAGAATCGCTTTAGTCATTAAAATTACTTTTATGTGAACATAAATTGCTAACAAATGTTATTAGCAGTCTTCATCAGAAGCGGACCTCTGTGGGAAAAATCTTAAAAGGTTTCCTCTGGGTTGTCATTTAAGCAAAGGATCCAGTGTAGACAGATTTTCACCTTCCAGTTCTGTGACCAGGTAACCAGGACCTGACGATCCACCCCACCCTAAATCCAATCCTTTTGTTTCTAAGTAGTTCAACTTCCCCGAAATGGGCCCCAAGACTCAGAAGGGAGTTCTTGAGACATAAGTCCTAACATATCTGCACGTTTCAGTTGCTGAGAAGGGGTGGGTACGTGCAAAACAAGTCCCAGCAGACTTACAAATTCCTCCCTTGCAATGCTCGTGTGATGCGGGGCCTGCAAACAGGGATTACCACAGCAAATTCAGGCACGGAAAACAGAAAAGCAGGAGGATCTCGTTCAAAACATTCATCCACAATAGTCGTAGCCAAAATGGTGACTATGTGGACAACAGTGAGCAGGCAAGTGTGTGGCTATTTCCACTTTTTTTTACAGTTATAATTCAAAATTTCAAAATAGTTAAAACGCTTTTTTTTTTAAATGGAGTTTTTACAATAGACAAAAAAAGCAATACTCTCAAGTACCAGGTAAGGCGCTGGCACTCACGTAACTCCCATGCCAGCTTCTCTGCCTCTCCTGCCTCTTCCACCATGCTGCCCCCTGGCTCTGCGTGACTCGCTCTGGGACGCTCGGGGACCAGGGTGCAAACGTGGGGCAGGCTGCTGGTGAACGGAGCGCGGTGGACTTGGCAAATGAGTTAAAAAGTACGTGAAGTATGGCAGCACCATAAAAACGGTTAAGTGCCACATAAATATATTGTTTTTATTTCCACGGCACCTTTATTTGATCCTTTAACTCTTCTTTGTCGTGTATCTAAATACTAAATGTCCCTGCCGACTGGCTTTGCTCAACTGAGGCATCTGTGGGATTGTTCAAAGTCTCAAGACTGTCCCTTCTCTTTTCACTGAGTAGCTCGGAATTGGGACTATGTCTAAGGGAAATACAAAGAGCACGGCTGTGTGCCTCCAGCACACACTCACCGGCTCCTGACCTCCAGTCCCTCTCCTCCTTCCCAATCCTTGAGAGGTCCAGGGTCTTATCCTAAGATTTTGGGGGAAATAAACCAGAAACAGGTCTTTTTTTAAACCTATTTGACATATGTTAAAATTAGCCTGCTTATAATGCTCCAATGAAAATCAAGGGGGTTGAGAATGACAATCTGGTTCTTCACTTTCATTGTTAAATACTCCAACAGGAAAATGTAAAAGAACTGCATACAAATGTAAGATAATCTACGTGTCCATATATTTACTTTAAAAATCAGATGTAACAAAAATTAATATGCACAATAAAAATGAAAATAGCCGTATTAATTCCCACAGTGATTACAACCCTAGTTTAACAGAAACACTAATGAAATGCTTTTGTTCAATAGCACTGTGTCAAAACACGTAGAATGAAAAGGCAGTGATAATGCCATGTCTGAGACACTCAAAAGGCTTTTAAAAAAATTGTGGGATACTCTGGGGGGAAATTCTGCATATGCTAATTACTTAACACAACCTTGCAGACAAGTAGGCAAAGCGGAAGTCTTAATTTTCTAACCATTTCACATTTCCTCATAGCTTGGGAACTAAAATAATGAGAGTGTCCTATCCTTTCAACTACATTTTATAAGTAGCTGAGTGAACAGCTTTATACCTCATTTGAGGTGCTTTCGTTTTCCTAAGCAGAGAAGATTGACCTCAAGCGTTAACAACTTTCTCTTAAGAATATAAAACAGAAAACGATGAGAAGGAGGAGAAGGTAATTTGTGATGGAGGAGAACACAGTAGGATAGCCGCTGGAGGTTTCGTCCTTGCCGTTAGTGCAGAGTAGCTGAAATATGGGTAAGTGAAAGGGGAATATGTAACATACAAACTCCCCAACAGCTCAAAAGCCGATTTTATTTAATTTATTTTTAAAAGATTTATTTAGAGAGAGAAAGAGAGAGCATGAGTGGGGGGAGGCGCAGAAGAAGAGACAATCCCCATGCAGACTCCCCACTGAGCACAAAGCCCAATGAGGGGCCTGAACCCACAACCCTGAGATCATGACCTGAACAGAAAACATGAGTCAGCTGCTCAGCCAACCGAGCCACTCAGGTGCGCCCAAAAGCCAATTTTAAAAAGGGATGAATGCACTCATGAAAGAATATTCTAACATTAGCAGTAAGTTGCCCACAATTCTGTATCATGTCTACGTGGTTTTAATAAACTAAAGAACATGCAAGTTATTTTGAAAATGCACAAATTACCTGTCCTTTTCCACGACGACAGGCGCAGGATAGGACTGGTTACTTTTATTGCCAGTGCCCAACTGACCATAAGAATTTGCACCCCAAGCATACACTTGGCCTTCATCTGTTAAAACTAATGTGTGTGCATAGCCACAGGCAACCTAGAAAAAGAAAACCCAAATCCACTTAGGCCCGCAAATATGCTTTCACAAGGTAGTTTAAGAACCAAAGATGCAAAAAAAAAAACCCCAAACAGTGGCAGCCCGCTCAGAGAGGCAAAACATCAAGGTAACCAGTTTTGTCTAGAACTGGTTTAGCCTGTGTGTGGCCAAAACTGCAGTAAGATCAACACGAGTCCTTTAGTGACATGCATCTGGTTTGTTCAGCTTTAAATATGGCATTCATTATGTTCACAGAGACCAAGGGTGTGGACTGAATATGAAATACGCTTTTACTTTTTTAAAAAAAAATATATTTATTTATTCATGAGACACACACACACACAGAGAGAGAGAGAGAGAGAGAGAGACAGAGACAGAGACAGAGACAGAGACACAGAGGAGAAGCAGGCTCCATGCAGGAAGCCTGATGTGGGACTCGATCCTGGGTCTCCAGGATCATACCCTAGGCCAAGGCAGTTGCCAAACCGCTGAGCCACCCAGGGATTCATTTACTTTTTAAGAATTTGTTTCCTTTTCTGTAAAACTAAAACATGTTCAATGTGGAAAAAATGTAGAAAAGTATAAATATGAAACTAATCTCAAGATCTGGATTATTTTTCTACTCATATATAGATACATGGATATGTACCATGTCTGCACTGTCTGTATCTTTATTTTTACTTGACATCACATAGCACTATTTCCATATCCTTCAAAACCCTTTGTAAACATCATTTCCATTCATACAGATTTAGTATAATTTATTTAATCATTAACATTATTTGATTAAATTATCCTACATCTATGATTTATTTATTGAAGTTAACTTTTTTCTTTCTTCTTTCTTTCTTTCTTTCTTTCTTTCTTTCTTTCTCTCTCTCTCTCTCTCTCTCTCTCTCTCTCTTTCTTTCTTTTTTGCTATATCTTCTCCACTAATTCTGTAAGTGTCTTTCATTTTGGTTCCTTAGGCTAATACCTAGGAATAAAATTACAGAACAAAGGTTATGAGTATTTTTGAGGCTCTTGATATATACACTACCAAAGTTTCCTTGGAAAAGATTGTGACAATTTACATTCCAACAGCTACATATGAGAATGGCCTAGAAACATAAATTCCTGATGAACATCTACAAATTAATTCATGGGAAACAGAGCTTTAGCCTTCACTTCAATGAAGAAAACATCAAGCAGCTAAACCATTCATCTGCCAAGAAAACTGTGTATCTTTGCCCCTAAAGACTTAAAAGCAGGCACACGGAAACCAATTGTGGACATACCCGCTGGATGCGAATGCCTTGCAGAGCTGCTATTCTACAGGGAGTTGGCTGGTTGCCGCTACTGCCGAGTCCAAGCTGCCCATTTCCATTGTAACCCCAGACATAGACCTGAGAGAAAACCAGAGACTCAATGTCCAAGGAAAACATAAGCAAGCAAGCTCTCTGCTGGAGAGAAACGTGCCGCGTCAGTAGGACACCAGCAAGGCAAATGGGTTTTTTAAAACAACATAGCACACAACTTTCTTACCTCCCCAGTATTCACCACTGCCATTGAACACATCTGCCCACATGCTATGTTCACAACAACTTTATTTTGTAAGCAGCCTGTGACTCTTCGAGGGATCGGCTGATTGGCTGTTGATCCAGATCCTACCTGTCCGGAGTTATTATAGCCCCAAGCAAATACCTGGGAATCGAAAAATGAAACACACTCGTTTATAAAGTGTCTCAGGTGGACGCAAATATGTACTCATAGTGCCTCATCTTTGCTCTCAAAGTGCCTGATATCCATCAATTCTCACACCACAGGCAGAGAAGTTTTTATGAAATTCATTCTTACAAAATGCAGTATGTTATAAAATTAGGTTATTGGTATTATCTACACAAATAGCAATAATTATTCTCAAATATCACATATTATTAAAATATCTACTTATAGATACCTTAGCCATATTTTCCAGCATTTTGAATTTTTTTCTTTTAGCAAATAAAACCCTCGAGTACAGCCATATAGAAGGAAAATACAGCCTTTTAAATTTTGCTAGGAATTTAATAGAAATCCCTACTACATAAAGGTACACTTCATGATATAACCACCATGACTATGAATTGCCAACAAGAATAAGATTGAACTTGAGGAAAATGGTTATTTAAATCAAATGATCATATTTCTAAGACTGCTATAAGAATCTATGTAACCTTATTGAAAAAAAAATCAATGAGATTTATGCTAACTATTCTCACCTCTCCATCAGATGTTAGCACCAAAGAATGGTAAGACCCACAGGCAACTTCAGTGACTTGTTTGTTTGACAAATTAGTAGAAATATGACAGGGCACTAAACCATGATTAGTTGTCCCATTGCCCAGCTGGCTATAAGCATTATGACCCCAGGTAAAGACTTCTCCTTCTGAAAATAAAAAGAAATACAACCAGCTTTCAAAACTTCTACTTTATTATATGAACATATATATTTGCACACCTTCATGAATGAAAACTAAAAATGTATGTGCAAAAACTAATCCACTTCCCTATTCCACCAAACTCATTCCATAAAAGAACACATTTGGAAATACAAACTATATTCTGTCTCAAAGCAACAAGGTGAATTGAAATGGATGAAATTATGATAACTGGGAGATAAGTTTTTAATAAACAGCTGAGAAATGTTACCAAGAGTAACAGGAAGAAATATCAGATTGAAAGTCCAAAGACTGTAAGATCATTTACCTTCTCTGGAGCTAGTTTCTTATCTATAAAGTGATCATCAAGTTAATTTTTTAAATCTTTGTTATTATTATGTAGTATAATACACATACAGAAAAGTTCATAGAATATATGCTGTTCTAGAAATAACGACAAAGCACACACTCATGTACTACCACTCAGATCAAGAAATATAACTGGATGATCACTCAAAAAGCTCACCATATATAATCCTGAATAAGAGAATTCAGTTTTTCCTATTCTTGAACTTTCAATAAATGGAATCATATAGTATATACTCCTTTTGTCTGTGTTTTCTACTATATTATCTCTTTGTGCTACATTCCAGATAGCTAATTTCTTCTAATCTTCTAGTTTATTTTCTTTTGATGTGTCCAAACTGCTATAAAACTTGCCCACTGAGCTTTTCATTTTGATGATTATATTGTTTATTTTTTTTTTTTTTCAAATCTTCTCATTTCTGCAGGATATAGCTTCAAGCTCATCATCTGGTATTTTTTCAAACACAATAAATACAGCTCTCTTATAACTGGTATCTGATCGTTCTAATATCTGATACTTCGTAGTCAGTTTTTGCTGTCCTTTTCTGCTTGGTTCTCCATTCATGGTGCCTTGTTTCCCTGTGTCCCTGGTTATCTTTGACTATATGCTACTAACTGCCACTGAAAACTCATTTTTCAATGGCAATGTATTTCCTCAGGCCTACGATGAAGTGAAGATGCCTTCTTCGAAAAAACATCCGCATTAACCTCTGTCATGCCATGAAGGCCCTTAAAGGTACTTCTTTGATAGATCCAATGCTTGGGATTTCTTGGCCCACCCAGTCTGATGTGAACTGGGATACAAATGCATGAGTACAACCCTTCAGGGACAGGTTCTCTTCCTTTTCTTTCTCTTTTCCTTCCTGCTTAACTCACAGCCAAGGATTTTTCTGTTCAGTGCCTTCGAGATGGAGGAGCCGGCCCATCCTTGCCCTACATTATAGCCCTTCGTGGACCTAGCATAACATGTTAAATTTCTGATGCACGATCCCTTCTACCTCAGGAGTATATCAAACCACAACCCCATTTAAGTGGAGAGGCAGATGCCCTGAAGGCAAAAGTAGCTTTAAGTTCCCTTTAACCTTACTTCACACTTTCTCGTAAATATGATCCAATAATTTGCCTCTGCCTTGTCTGCGCTTTGATGCCTCTATGAAAAAAAAAATTTAAATACTTTATGTACAATTTCCGCCAAAGAAAATGGTCCAAAAAAATCCAGCCTATTCCTGGCAACCAAAATTCCCTAAAATTTATGTGAAATAAGTAATCAAAAGAATGTTTATAAACTTTATTTTCAGTTCAAAGAATACTAATAAAATGAATACCCAGCTTAAAAAAAAAAAACCTCTACGGTATGATTTAATTAAAATGTCTTATTAGTGTGAATTCATAAAATAGCCATGAGAGTATTTAATTCTCTATCCTACTAATATCAAATATAGCCATCAGTCACGTTCATGACAAGAATCCCAGTGCTAGGAGTTAGAGGGCATCTTGGACTTCATTAGTTCATAGATCAGGGATCCCAAGCTCAAAAAGTCCAGAGTGAGTTCAGCATTTTAATGCAAAATAATTAAACTTTCTAAAAGCATAAACAAAAGGGGTTCACTGGGCTTACAGCACTGTCATTCTCACATCCAAAGTGCCAATGCTTGCTGGATTCCATCTGCTATATTATCTTACTCTCATATTCAAATATGTTCATATTTCATGGTGTTTAAAGCACGGACAAGAGTCAAGTTCACAGGGCAGAGCCGGAAACTCCTGCCCAATCAAAAAGTACGTTCTCGGTTTAAGGGGTGATCCTAAATCCTGCTTCTAACAAGGCAGTGGCTCCAATTCTACATGTGCTCCTAGGTTACCTGTGGTCGCAAGGACAATATGGGGGCCACTCCCATAGCTGAGGCAGGCTATTTTCTTGCCACTTAAAGCATCCAGTCTCCGAGGTTCAATGGTACTCTGGACGTCACCTAATCCCAAACAGCCACAGCAGTTTGTGCCAAGCACAAAAATCTATGGGGAAACAAAAACAAAAACAAAAACCACTGTTAGTTCGAGCACTTGTATTTCTGAAGAGCCCATGATTACTGCTTCACTGTTTAACAAGATATAATAAGAATCTACTCTCCATGCGTTTTTTCTTACAACCGTAATTCCTTCGTTCCTCCCACCCCCGCCCCACCCAAGACCTTCAACTTGGCAAATCCATTCCTGTGAGGGGCTGAACGTCTCCGTGGACCTCTACCTCATCGCTGACTGTGGTATATAAGACTTCGTTGCCGGCGCTGCCGAAGACACAGGCCTGACGAATTAACTGCAGCTCCTCCTCGGAACAAAGGGAGAAAATTGGCCACTTTCCCACATCTAACATCTTCAAAGACGACAGAGTAGCCTGTACTGGCTGAAAAGGAAATAAATAAATATAGACACAAATAAAAGTCGAAACACACACACACACACACACGTTAAGACTATTAATTAAACAATACTTTCTTTTTTCTTCCCCTTGTACTTCCGTGGAGGCCAGCGCCGGTTCAAGGAGGGAACTCGTGAGGGGCCCCCGAGCTCGGAACGGCCTCCGCAAGCCACGCCTGTCCTGCTCTCACAGCGAGCCGGAGCCAGAGCCAGAGCCAATCTTCTCGGGGCCTCGGGAGTCACCCACGGCTGACCCCTGACCCTTCCGGCCTGGCTGGTCTTAAGCGTAGCTCTGGACGCTGGGCTGGCTGGAAAGGCCGGAAAACCTGAGGGCGGGGGGGGGGGGGGGGGGGGGGCGCACTGTGACTTCAGCAGCGGCCCGGGGCCTGACGAAATGCGTCCTTGGAAAAGAACGACGCTGACGGTGACGCCAAGACACCGGTCCCGGAGCCCATTCTGACCACCGGTTGGGCGGCTGGTGGCTTGGCCGCATCCCCCTCACTCGGGCTCAGAAAGTGCGTATTTGTCGCCGAGGGCCGCCACCGCGAAGGGCCACAGGCTGGGCGGTTTACACCAAAGCCATCTATTTTCTCACAGTTCTGGAGGCTAGAAGCTCAAGATCAAGGTCTACGCTAGTCTGGTTCTTCCTGAGGGCTGTGAGGGAAGGATCCAGGCCCCTCTCCCTGCCTTGTGAGGCCACCTCCTCCCTGTGTCTTCACATCGGCTCCGCTCTAGGCAAGTCCGCCTCTGGGTCCAGGCCGCCCCTCTCCAGAAGGACGCGAGTCATCCTGGATTAGGGCTCGCCGGAATAACCCCATCCTAACCCCCCACATCTGCAGTGACCCCATTTCCAAATAAGGTCACCGTCTGAGGTACCGGGGTGTCCTCGTGTATTTGCGCTGCTGTCACGGCACGGCCCGGGAGGCTTATAAACAGCAAGAATTGGCTTCTCGCACTTCCGTAGACTCGAAGTCCAAGAGCAAAGCACCGAAATGCTCATGTTCTGATGAGGGGCCCCTTCCTGCTTCACAGCCCTTGTCTTCTGTGTCCTCACGGGGCAGGAGGGGCTAGCGATCTCTCCGGAGGCCCTTTTATAAAGCACTAATCCCACTCTCGAGGGTTCCCGTGACTTCATCACTTCCCAAAGTCCCCACCTTCTAACCCCACCACCTTTGGGGGTTTAGGATCTCAACATATCAATTGGGGTTGGGGGGAAACACAATTAAACCCACAGCAGCAAACGTTAAGATCACAGCACCCGAGTTCTCGTTAGAGCACGCAATGTGGACACCATAAAGCTATTCGGAAGAAGAGCTTTCATTTATTTGCTCCCCTGGCAGCACACATTGTTAGGTGTGTGCTCTCTAGCTTTCAGAAATTTGGGGATAACAGGAAGATGCAGAAGCAGCCAACAGGTTTTCAAGTGGCACGTCTGGCCCTCTCTCCTAATCGCCATGCTTCTGCTTCATTTCAAGGAGCAGGGGATCTCGGGAGGCCTGTCCTTCCCAACCGCTATTAAGTCAACCTTACCAGGGAAGAGTTCTGGTACAAAGCTGACGGGACTAGCGACTCACTCTCTGCAGGCCTGGAAGGGACTTAGGAGTCAGCTGAGTATACGTGTGTGTGTGTGTGTGTGTGTGTATTATGATGACTTGGCTCATAAGATTACGGAGACTCAGAAGTCCCATGATCTGCATCTGCAAGCTGGAGACCCAGGAGAGCTGGAAGCACAGTGTAATGAGTCCAAAGGCCTGAGAACCAGGGGAGACAGTGATGCACATCCCAGCCTGAGGGCAGGAAAAGATGAAGCGAAAACCCAGATCAACCAGTGAAATAGGAAAAAAGGGATGAATTCCTCCTTCCACCACCTTTTGTTAAGAGCTTCGATGATGCCCACCCACCCTGTGGAGGGCAAACCGTTTACGGAGTTCACCAATTCAAAGGCTCTTCTCGTCTGGTGACACCCTCACAGACACACCCAGGAGCAATGTCTCATCTGGGCACCAGTGGCCTACTCAAGGTGACACATAAAATTAATACCACACCATGCGAAGAAGCCCATGTGATCATGGAGGCAGAGGCTGAAGCAATCCGCCTGCAGGTCCAGGAACACCAATGACAGACAGAAGCCACCAGAAGCTGGGAAGAGGAAAGGACGGCTTCTTCCCTAGAGCCTTCAGAGAGTATGGCCCTGCTGACACCTTAGTTTCAGACCTCTAGTCTCCAGAACTGCCAAAGAATCCATTTCTATTGCGTTAAGCCACCCAGTTTGCGGTACTTCATCAAGGCGGTCCCAGGAAACGAACACAGAGGGTAAGCAGCCTGTAAGGGCTAACAGCATCATCCTGAGGCCACGGCAGCGCCTGAACCAGGATGACGGCCCCGACGCCAGAGCCAGCCACCGTCCCTCACCGTGCCACTCAAGTTCTAGGACCCTGTCTGGGGAGGGAAGTCGTCCGTTATCTTTGGGCCGCACCCAAGGCCACTGCAGAGCTAAGGACAGACTCTTGTTTTTAGCTTTTAGGCTAATATTTAGGTAAATTACGTACCTCCTTACATCATGAAGGCATCTTATTTTCTCTGAGGGTCTTCATTTTAATTATTTTTTCCTATTCTATATATTCTATATAGATATAGATATATAGTCTATATATAGTCTATATATTTCAAAAAGAATATATAGTCTATAAATTTCAAAAAGAACAATGTTTGGGATGTGGCATCAAATATTTATAGATGAGCTAGTGTGCTAATTAAAAGCACTCATATATTATTTCTAAACTTCACACTATAGGGCACAGAGACTGCTAGCCTCATTTTAAATATAGGGAAACTGAGGCACAGAAAGACTAAGCAATCCTCCAAGATCACCTGCTTCCAAAGACTGCTTTCCACACACCACATGCTGCAGAGAAAAAAGCTCACATAAAAAGTTCTATCGCTGGCAGATCGGGCCTACAGCTGCAGGGCTTTGGCTGTTGGCACGCAGTCCTTAATGAACAGGCACCAAGACCCACTGTGGGTTACCTTCCACGAACAGAGCAGACGGCAATATACAAAGAGAAAATACGCATCCCTACCTCATTTTTTCCTGTCAGGCAGGTTTTTTGGGATTTCAACCTGCCCTGCTACAAAACTCAAGTGGTTTCTTTGATGCCTAGAATCTGGTTGTAAATCCAACAAGCTCCTAATAAACACCTGGCTACAAATTATTGGTTCTGAACTTTCTTCCTGGCTCACTTGTACAAAACCTCTAGTACCCACCCCGTGACTCTATAACCGCCGGGCTTCTAGAGTGTGTGTGTGTGTGTGGTGTGTGTGTGTCTGTGTTGTAGCATCGCCTGCAGTCATACATTTGTTAAAGGATGCCACAGGTCCACAGAACATCAGGTGTGACAGTATCACTGAACATGTCCCGAGTGCCAGATATTAAAGATATAAAAATCGGGACGCCTGGGTGGCTTAGTGGTTAAGCATCTGCCTTTGACTCAGGGCCTGATCCCAGGGTTGGGGATCAAGTCCCACATCAGGCTCCTGCAGAGAGCCTGCTTCTTCCTCTGCCTGTGTCTCTGCCTCTCTCTCCGTCTCTCATGAATAAATAAATAAAATCTTAAAAAAAAAAAAGATATAAAAATGAAAGATCATCACTCCTTCAAGGAGCTCACAATTTAATAGAAAACAAATACCTAACAATATAACCGGAGTACAATGGGGGTGTGAATACACTGCTTTTAAACATCTGTCAGAAGGCTGGCTCCTGGAGGTCAGTTATCAAAAATGCATTTTCCAAAGTCTTGTGGGGGAGTTATTTCATGGGGGGGAACTTATGACTTAATTTATGAAAGGCACACATTTATGCTTTTCTGAGGTATTTAATATTAGTCTCAAGGAATTGTAGCATCTTTGTTCTCAGAAGAAAAATACATTGCTCTCTACAACACCCTCATAGGTGTATATAGCTGTACACGCTGTGCACACCGTAAACCTGCCTGTATGGAACGTGTATGTATCCTCCGTATACATAATAAGACTGTAGGAAGCAGGATTCACATACAGCACCCTGCAAGAGACGCAGTCACCCTGCATGACAGCAGCCACCTCTGCAGAAGGCGCCCAATCAACTTCGTGCCCAACTGTTAAGTAAGGGACTGGCTTAGCAGGAGCCAAGGTCAGGCAACAGAAAAATCTGTATGGGGAAAAAGCACTTCCAGGGAATGAGAGCTTGACCGTATACACGATGAGTCATCAAGATCATGTCCCTAGAATTCAACCTTAATTTGGCCCAGGTAGCCCTGCACATAATACTACTACCGGCAATAACTATTCCCTGGCCAGCTTTCCTTTACTTTTGCTCTGCATCCAGCCCCACAGCCTCATCTTTCACTGGCCCCTGTTCGGGAAATGCAAAGTGGTGATATTTTAATATTAGCTCAAGGAAAATATAGTTAAGGAAACACAGCTCCATAAAATTAGAGACCAAGATACATTTTATTACTCCTTGGAGTACGTGCTACCTATATAACTCTGCTTCTCCAGCCAGAAGCACAATCGGACAGATTGTGCAGATACTTCACTTAACTCTAGACAACTATGTTGTCACAATTAAACTTAAAATACACCATATAGAAACAAAACCAAAATTACCTGTTGGGCATGGCTTACCAAAAAAAACTATTTAAAAAAAAACAAACAACCAACAGCTTGCCTTTCAGGACTTCTTGGCTATGCAGCACTTTATATGTAACAGTCACTTCATTCCTAATTCTGTTAATCTATTTTTTTTTATTTTACACAGTCTGTTATTCCTGGGAAAAATCTGGAATTTTTCTATGAACATTTTGTAAGATTCTCAAGTTCCATATAGTCTTACAAAAGTAAGCTATTTTTGTATTTTGTATTTTCACAAATGAACACGTCAGGGGTCAGCACATGGTAACACTATGGTTTGGTTTCAGAAGTTTTGCCATCTTTATGCACTCTGCTGGCTTTGTATAATTATTTACATATTTTGTGGTATTTTGATTATATAATTATTTACATCTTTTACAGTGTTTTAACCATATTTTAAGAACAGCAGAAAACAGAAAAATGAAAATTAAGAGTGGCAGTTAATATTAAGCTGTTAATAGTGAAGAACAGATATGGTATCAATTTAATAAAATTAACACAAGTTGGAAATCCATGTGCATGCTGAAAGATGCGAAGCTTTTGACATCACTTGGACACATTGGACTTAAGCTGGTTGACTGTCATGTTGAGCTGTGATGGAAAAGGAATAAAGAATATTTTATGATGAATTAAGAACATGTCATCTGAGACTAGGTATTTTATAATTTTGTTCATTCTCTGGGAATGAAGTAGATGTTCAGCTCAGACCTCTAGCAGGACAGTGTTATCTGTGACAGTAGGGATGGTCTGTACTCCCCTCGTCCAGCGCCAACCTCGCCATCTGTGGGAACCCTGCTCTACCCCTCAGATAATACGGTTTTCTGCAGGCCCCTTTAGCATTCTACACACCCACAATAATTATCTGTTTGCATGTGGGTCACTACACTGTGAGCCCCTCAAAGATAGATACTATCTCGCTGATCTTCCTATTGCGTGACCAGTAGATGCTTGATACATGCTTCATGCAACAGAAAATACATGTTCCAAAGACATGATCTTTTTTTTCTAACCTTGCCACTTTCTCTGTAGGAAAGGGGAAGCTCTTCTTCCATATGGACTCAGTCCTGTGCAGTCCCTAAGGAAAAAGTATGTGGTAAAATCAGGATCCCATAGGTCAAATGATACTAGGCAGATTAAAATTATTTTACTTCCAATTAACAGAGAAAATAAGCTAAACTCCAATATGGTGAAGGGAAGATAGGGAATTAAGGTTTAGGCATGAGAGTTAATAGCTATAAAACCCGAAAGGTGTTTTTAACTGTTCTGGGACTATCCTATGGTCTCTTATGGGAAACCTCCTGCAGAGGTCTGGAAAAGTAATCCCAGGATAAATGAAGATTCTTAAATCTATAAGGAAATAAGTAGAAAATTTTCATTTTACAGTTGACCTACTATAGATAAGAAAAAATAAATTTTAGACCTTAGTCAAGTTTTCCCTGGGATTGGAAAGCTCCAAATCACCGTGCAGAGCAGACTTATCAGTTCTCAGCTCCACTGAAGAGTATATGATTTGCTAAGCTGGGGGAACAGGGGAAGGAGGAATGAATGAAAAAATGAAAGGATGAAGAATGACTATGGCTTTGTTTATCATAAACTGTAATAAAAAATCTGCAACAGTAGCCATCAAGTATGAAGCAACAGTATTCAATGTTCTTGCCTTAATTAACCATTTCCACAATGACTACTTTCTACCACATAGAAGTAACAGTAGAAGCAGCTCTTTCAAAAGACATGCAACATGGGCTCTCTTTTTGCTCAAAGGATCCCCTTTAATATTTCTTGCAGGGCAGGTCTGGACTGTGGTTCAATCATTACACAGTGAACCATCTCATCACCAAAAATAAATATAAATAAATATTCTTTCTCTCCCCCAAAAGCAATTGAACAAAATTCTATTTAATAATGTTGGTATTTAGGGAGAAAGAACATGAGAGACTCCTAACTCTGGGAAACGAACTAGGAGGGTGGAAGGGGAGGTGGGGGTGACTGGGTCACGGGCACTGAGGGGGGCACTTGATGGGATGAGCACTGGGTGTTATTCTATATGTTGGCAAATTGAACACCAATAAAAAATAAATTTAAAAAAGTAACAATTAATTAATTAATTTTAAAAAATACAAAAAGAAAGGTGAAACAATAAAAAAAATGTTGGTATTTCTGATTTATTAGTTTGGGTTCTATTTACTCAAATACACTACATTTCAAGGGCTAACGTCAGGACATTTTTATCTGATATTATCTACAAGCAATTAGAACCTTATAAAAGACAGATAAAAACAATAATCAAAATAAAATCAAGTCTTAACAGTGTTCCTGATCCATGCTTTATATGCCCTTGAGAATATTAGTAAAATTTTGTTTCCTTGGCTATAAAAAGGTGTCTCAGAATATAAGGAATAGTCACATATTCAGAATAATTATAGCTCAAGCTATGGCGATTGATAATCATTTTTAAAAATCTATTTATTTATTTATTTATTTATTTATTATTTATTTATTTATTTATTTATTTTTTGAGTGTGAGCAGGGGGAGGGGTATAGGGAAAGGGATAGGATCTCAGAGCAGACTCCACACAGAGCGCAGAGAGCAACCTAGGGCTCTATCTCACCACCATGAGATCATGACCTGAGCCAAAATCAAGAGTCGGATAATTAACTGACTGAGCCACCCGGGCGCCCCACGAATCATTACTTCTAATATTTGCAAAAGATATACTTGTTTTTAAAAGAAGCACTTAGGCTTTCCTCACTTATCAATTTATAAAACTTGATCTAGTTGCCAATATGGAAAGATAATTTCATGTGACGGTTATTCCTACATGATTGGTCTTCTCCGTTAATTTGCAAGCTCTTTAAGAGAGGCAACCATGGCTCGTTCGTGGTTATAACCACCGTAGGACATGGCTCAGAGAAGAACACAATATTATGTATTTGGCTGAAAGCACTTTTTGAATACAGCTTTTTGCATATTGGAGACTGCTGGCATTGAGGATTCCTTTTTTTTTTTTTTTTAAATTTCATCCTAACTGGAATGACATTGCCCATATCTATCCCACATTTACTAGAATAAAAAATAAAAAGAGGGGGGGATTCCTGGGTGGCGCAGTGGTTTAGCGCCGGTCTTTGGCCCAGGGCGCGATCCTGGAGACCCGGGATCGAATCCCACATCAGGCTCCCAGTGCATGGAGCCTGCTTCTCCCTCTGCCTGTGTCTCTGCCTCTCTCTCTCTCTGTGACTGTCATAAATAAATAAAAAAAAAAAATTAAAAAAAAAATAAAAAAGAGGGGACAAGGAAAAAGGAAAAAAAGTAGAGGAAGGGAAGTCAAAGGCAAGAAAAAAAAGGAAACTGGAGGAAAGGGGACCAAAGAAGAGATGTGGCTGCCCTTTATTGTACCATAGGCCACTTTTGTTGCCAGGAGAAGAGAAATCCTGCTAATACACTACGATCCTGGAACAGTAATCCTGGCTTGTTGTTTCCCACCCCATTCCTCTACCATTGTAGGTAACCAATTCTATTGGTTTCTGGTTTATTCTTCCTATTTCTTTTTGCAAAAATAAGCAGATACATGTCTGTAATTTTATTTCCCAATTCCTCCTTATACAAAAATAGCATATTTTATATATTCTCTTTTGGTAATTTGCTTTTTTTTTTTTTTCATGATCTCACAGCCCTGAGATCATGACCAGAGCCAAAATCAGGAGTTATATACTTAAGTGACTGAGCCACCCAGGCGCCCCTGACCAGGCTATTATTAATATCAATGTTATAGTGGTATATCAATATATATTTCCTAAAAATCCACAATATACATACAGAATACCACATCCATGAATTTTAAATAACAATAGCAACAGTAACAGTTAATATAAACAGCTACTCTGTACCACCGATTAAGTGCCTTATATTATCTCATTAAACTTTACAGTGGCCAAAAGAAACAGATACAAACATTGCCACGTTTCAAAAACGACCAACCGTCACCAACCAGTCAAGGTTAGAGCCACAGTATTTGATTTCAAAACTTCTCTTCTAGACCCTCCCCTGTATTTAAGTTCTCCTGTGAACGTTCCAGTTTTATTTTATACTGACTGGTTGGGAATGTTCCATCCAAAAATTTTTATACCTGATTGTCTTAAATTTCTGGAGCCCCGTATTCAGTCATCTTTAATTCTGTTCCTTCTAGATCCTTGTAAAGTTGTCTTCTAGGATAAAGTCAATGTGACTGAAAAACATAAACACATAAATTCTATTAAGAGAATAAGAGAGAAGGAAAAGAATATACCATCTTGCAATTTTAACAAGCCATTATTTATCTGAGAAGTATATGGTTCAAAAATTGTATTAGTTTTATAAATTAAAAAGTCAGCAGTAGGGATGCTCCATTATTAAAAAGTTAATGTAAAATATAACCTTTAGATATTATACTTTGTAAGTTTGGAGACCATACTTCAACAATTTGGACGCTGAAACACATGAAAAAAAAAACCCCCACATACTACTAAGAACACTTTAATTCGTGTCAACACAGAAAACGCAAGGGAAGCCATCTGGAATGTGAAAAAAGCAAAACTTTCAAACTTTTGGAAGAAAGCACAAAAAACATCTTTGTGACCTCAGGGCAGGGAACGATTGCTTAAATAAGACACAGTAGCATAAACTGCAAAGAAAAGCCTAGAGAAATTTACTACACAAAACTTCAAAAATACACATACTGAAAGATGAACAAAGGAAAACCTGCCACGGAATGGGAGTAGGTATTTTCAACATATATAACTACTAGGTATTTACCCGAAGGATATAAAAATACTGATTCGAAGGGAAACGTGCACCCCAATGATTATGGCAGCATTGTCATCAATAGCCCAACTATGTAGAGAGCCCAGATGTCCATCGACTGATGAATGGATAAAGAAGAGGAGGTATATATATGCAACGGAATATTACTTAGCCATAAAAAGGATGAAATCTTGCCATTTGCAACCATATGGATGGAGCTAGAGTATTATGCTAAGCAAAATCAGTCAGAGAAAAACAAATACCATATGATTCACTCACAATGGATTTGAAGAAACGAAGCAGATGAACATAAGGGCGGCGGGGGCGGGGGGAGGGAGAGGCAAACCAGAAAACAGACTCTTAACTATAGAGACCAGACTGAGGGCTGCTGGAGGGGAGGTGGGCGGTGGGATGGGGCGAATTAGGGGATGGGTATTAAGGAAGGCACTGTGATGAGCACTGGGTGTTCTGTGTAAGTGCTGAATCCCTAAATTCTACACCTGAAACTAATATTACCATGTATAATAACTAACTAGAATTTAACTAGAAACTTGAAAAAGGCAGAAATTTTAAAAATAAAACTGCTTATAGATTTCCTCCTTTTCTGCACAGGAGGGCAATATTTTTTTAAAAAATTTTATTTATTTTTATTTTTTTAAATTGGAGTTCAACTTGCAACATATAGTATATCACCCAGTGCTCATCCCGTCAAGACAGGAGGGCAATATTTCTTATAGACCCAGAGCAGAGGCTGGCGTCTGTATGGAGATCTTCACAGTGATGGTGTCTCAGCTTAAGATCATTCCATTCAATACTTACTATGTGTTAATTTACTTGGTTTTTTTTCCCCCTCACATGTGTTTTCAGACTTACAATTTGGCTCAGGCACATAACCAATAATTCTTATCAAAAAGTGTCTTAAGACTGCCTTTAGTGAATCTAAATTGTATACTCACGGGGCCAATGTTTCAAGTTTTTGCAAGAGGAATTTTCAAAAGCAAATATACAACCAAGGTGATTTTTTTGTATGACATTTGTTTTTCTCTTTTTGCTTTTTGTGCAACTTTCATTCCAATGTGGGAAGCCAACAATCGTATTATATAATAGATACATTATATAGCATATTGGAAAGTGATGGTGACACAAAAATGAAAATGGAGCCGGATAAGGAGGAGTAAGAGTCCTGAAGGTTGATGTTAAAGGTTTTCGATTTTAAACAGGGTGGCCAGAGAGCCTCCCTAGGTATATGATCTTCAAGGAAAGACTTGAAGAAAATGAAGTGAGCTGAGTACACCTAGAACAAAATCTATCTAGGTCTATGTGGTGTAATGTTCTGAGGTGAGGTTTTGAAAAGCGACAAAATCTGATTTGGTTTTCAGAGTCACACTGGTTCTATGCTGGTAATATTTCTGTTATTTTCTTTTTACCCTTATTGAAATATAACTCACACGCAACATTAGTTTCAGGTGTACAATGTAATGATTCCAAATCTGTATACACTGTGAAATGATCTACACAATAAATCTAGTCACCACCTATCACCATAAAAAGTTACAAGAAATTTTTTCTTTCTGTCTTATGATCAGAACGTTCAAGATCTACTCTGCTGCCAACATTCGAATACGGCACCTACAATATTATGGACTATAGTCAGCATGCAGCACACCACGTCTCCTTGACCTATTCGTTTCATACCTTGAAGTCTGTACCTCCCATGCCCCTTTACCCATTTCATCCTTCCCCCACCGCCCTTACCCTTGGCAACCTCCACTCTGTTCTCCATACCCATGACTTTCATTTTGTTTCTTAGATTCCACATATAAGTGAAATTGTACAGTAGTTGCCTCTCTGGTTTATTTCCCTTATTATAGTCCATCCATGCTGTCACAAATGGAAAGATCACATTCTTTTTTATGGCTGAGTAATATCCCATTGTGTGTGTGTGTGTGTGTGTGTGTGTGTGTGTGTGTGTGTACACCTTCTTTATCCATTCATCCGTCTGCGGACACTTTGGTTGTTTCTATATGATGGCTATTGTAAATAATGCTGCAACGAGCATGGGGGTGAATATATCTTTTCAAATTACTGTTTTTATTTCCTTTCAGTAAATACCCAGAGATGGAATTACTGGAGCATATGTGATTTTAATTTTTTTAGAAACCTTTGTTGTCCATAGTGGCTGCACCAGTTGACATTCCCACCAATAATGCATAAGGGTTCCCTTTTCTTCACAACTTTGCCAACACCTGTTATTTCTTGGCATACTGATAATAGCCATTCAAACAGGTGTGATGGGGCATTTCACTGTGGTTTTGACTTGCATTTCCCTGATTTGTGATGCTGAGCATCTCTTCCTGTGCCTGTTGGCCATCTGTACTTGGAAAAATATCTATTCAGATCCTCTGCCTATTTTTAATTGGATTATGTTATTGAGTTGAGGGAGTTCTTTGTATTTTTTGAATGCTAACTCATGAGATACAGGATTTGCAAATATTTTCTCCCATTCTGTAGACTGCCTTTTCATTTTGGTGATGGTTTCCTTTGCGGTGCATAAGCTTTTTCTTTGGATGTAGCCACACGTGTTTATTTTTGCTTTTAGAAATCAGATCCGAAAAGCAGTGCCAAGACTAATGTCAAGAGGCTTACAGCCTATGTTTCCATCTAGTTTTACGGTTTCAAGCCTTACATTCCAGTTTTTAATCCATTTTGAGTTCATTTTTGTGTTGTGTAAGATAAGTAATCTAGTTTCATTCTTTTGCATGTAGCTGTCCAGTTTTCCCAGCACCATTTATTGAAGAGGCTGTCCTCACCCCCATTGTATACTCTTGCATCCTGTGTTGTAAATTCATTGAACATATATGCATAGGTTTATTTCTGGGCTCTCTAGTCTCTTCCATTGATCTAGGTGCCTGTTCTCATACCAATATCATACTGTTTTGATTACTGCGGCTTCATAATATAGTCCGAAATCAGGACGCATCATACTTCCAGCTTTGTCCTTCTTTCTCAAGATGGCTTTGGCTATCCAGAGTCTTTTGTGGTTCCATACAAATTTTAGGATTATTTTGTCTACTTCTGTGAAAAATGACATTGGGACTTTGATGGGAATTGCACTGAATCTATACATGGCTTTGGGTAAGAGGAACTTTTTAGCAATATTAATTCTTTCAGTCCATGAACATGGGATATCTTTGCATTTACTTGCATCTTCTTTGATTTCTTCCATCAATCTTAGAGTTTTCAGCATATAAGTCTTTCACCTCCTTGCTTAAATTTATTCCTAAGTATTTTATTATTTTTGATGCAATTTTAAGTGAGATCTTTTTAATTTCTCTTTCTCATAGTTTGTTGTTAGTGTATAGAAATGCAACAGATTTTGTAGGCTGATTTTTATTTTTTTTAATTTTTATTTATTTATGATAGTCAGAGAGAGAGAGAGAGAGAGAGAGAGAGAGGCAGAGACATAGGCAGAGGGAGAAGCAGGCTCCATGCACCGGGAGCCCGACGTGGGATTCTATCCCGGGTCTCCAGGATCACGCCCTGGGCCAAAGCCAGGCACCAAACTGCTGCGCCACCCAGGGACCCCTGTAGGTTGATTTTATACCCTGCAACTTCACTGAATTAATTTATTTATTCTTTACTGAATTAAAAAAAAAACAGTTCTAAAAAAAAGTTTTTTGGTGGTGTCTTTAGGGTTTTCTATATATAAAACCATGTCACAAATAATGAAAGGCTTACATCTTCCTTTCCAATTTGGATGCTTTTTGCTTCTTTTTCTTGCCTAATTGTTCTAGGACTTCTAACACTATGTTGAATAAAAATGGGCATCCTTGTACCTAATCTTAAAGAAAAAGCTTTCACTTTTCACCATTTAGTACAACATAAGCTGCGGGCTTGTCATATATGGCCTTTATTATGTTGATATACACTCCCTCCATACCTACTTTGTTGAGAGATTCTTGCTGTGTTTGAGTAAGTTCTACTGCCCTGTCTTCTTGGCCACTAGTCATTTCTTCTGCTTCATCTAGTCTGTTGTTAAACCCCCCCTAGTATATTTTTCAGTTCAGTTATTATATTTTTCAACTCTGTAACTTCAGTTGGTACTTTCTTACATATTCTCTTTGTTGCAACTCTCACTGTATTCATTCGTCCTTCTCTCAAGATTGGTGAACATCTTATTGACCATTACTTTGAGACCACAAGCATACACCGTGTTGACCTTCAGACCAGGCAATCGGCAGTGTTCCCTGGTGACAGCTGCAAAAACTGGGGCTTCAGACCAGTGTGTAAGCTCCTTTCTGGGGGGTCCTGGCAAACTGTAGTGAGGCTGAGGGAAGACAAAAAGATGGTATCCTCCAGCCTATGTCCCCCGAGAGCACCTCTGTAGCCTCTAGATGTGTGGTAGACTTGAAGTCTGCCCCTTGGGCTGAAGCGCCAGGACAAGTGAATAGACTTATTTCACAAGTAGACTGGGGGTGTGTTCCAGCCCGTTGTCTGTACAGTGCCCTGGGGGTGACAGCCTACCAAGAACTGTCTCTCCACTCATTACAGTCCTGTGGAACTCAGCAACACAAGCATGCCTACCCATCGTATCAAGGTAGAGGAACAATGCAAAAATGGCACCCACCAGCACCCCTGTCCACAGAGACAGTCCCAACAGTCCCCTGCCTGTGGCATCCAGCAGATGCTTTAAGGTTAGAAAATAAATCTTCACACATAGTCTAGGTGCTCTTCAAACTGCTGCTTTTGTGCCGGTTCCCAGGGCAAGTGAGTTTACATGCAAACCCTTTAAGAGAAATATCTGTTCTCTACAGCCTTTTCATTTTCAGTCTCCTGGATGTGAGAGCCATTGGTTTTCTAAGCTAGTTGTTTGGGGAGCTCATCCTTCACTGCAGGTCCCAGGGGTGCTTGATGTGGGGTACAAACCCTTCATTCATTAAGGAAGCTCCAGATTTGTGAGATTTTTCCCAGCTGTGGGTTGTTACTCTGGCAGTGGGGTTTTCGGTGAGACCGCCCATAGCGGCCCTTTTACTGTTTTGTGTGAAGCAGCTATTCAGCTAGTTCTCAGGTCTTTTTCAGAAGGAGTTTTTCCATATGCAGCTGTAGATTTGGTATGTCTGTGGAAGGAGAGGAGTTCAGGATCTTCCTACACCAACACCTTGGACCACCCCCCCCCCAACATTTCCTATTATATCTGTTTTCTTAAACTTGTACAGTTCAACAACTTATTTCCAAGTTATCCCTGTTTGGAACAGAGAACTCCTTATTCTTACAGATTATATTTTGAGAGTTTTCCCTACATTCTTAATAGCTACGCAGCTGGAGAGTGGTGGATAAGAAGACAGTCTTTTGATAAGTGAACATGAAAAACACAGCAATTCTTAATCCTCCCAAAGAACAGGTCAAATAATTCAGTTCCCTACACAAAGTATATAGTAAGCGGCCTCTACATATTAGTGTTGGTAATCAATGTTAATCACCATGTTTGCTAGTAGGACAATGTGTCATATTACTTGGTAATACGTCTGACCCAAATAAAGAGTTAAGCTGATTAGAGGACATACCTTCATTTGCCTAATTTATTCAACAAATGTTAATTTGGTGCCTGCAGTAGGTACTAAGCTGAAAGCAAATTTGCATAAAAGAAAAAACAAAATAACACGGAGCAAAAGGATATCCACCTCCCAGGTGCTTGCGTCAACATTACCCCAACACAACAGCACTTGTTAGTTTTTACTAAAAACTAATAAACTAGACACATTGTATCTATGAGAGCAAAGCATTTTCCATGGAAACTGATATTTGGCAAGTAACTAGGAGCTTCTAAATGCTAATATCCATTCTTTAGAAGTAATCCCTGAAGAAAAAGTGAAAAAAAAATAGTAATTTCTGCAACGAAAACCCAATGCTGTATACATATATATATTTTTAATCCCACTTAATAATATGAGATCAACGCTAAAGCTATGCTTGAAAAATATAATATACAAAAAAAAGTTTTCTTGCAATATAGAACACAATGCTTTAAACAAATTCTCCCATCTGGGCCACACAGTTGGTGATGTTTTTATTAACAAAGAAATAGGACATTAAAGAAAACTAACGTCTTTTAGGATGCCAGCACACAGTTTACAGCACCCGTGTATTAATGAGCTCCAGACCAAGTAAATGTCAATGCAGTAATGATGGTTCCCAATCATATGCTAACTGAACCACAGAATGGTATGTCCTCTGTAAGTTATGAATGAGAAAAATAGAAGAAAACATGATCCCAATTATCACCTGCAAAAAAAGGATGACAGCTATAATTTACCTCTACTTTGAATGAGAGGTCATAAGCCTACCACAAATACCATTAAAATCCCTACACAGCTGCTAACCAATGTGGGACAATTATAAACAGGATGGTCAAAACTGAAAAACTGAAACGCACAACTAAAACTAAGGTACAACCTCAAAAGAAAAGGTATTGTCAGGCTCATGATAAGAATCAAACTGACTTAGGACACAGAAACAACACTGCTATTTTAATTATGTTTTTAAAAAGGTTTCCAAATTTCACCTAGAAATGAGGCAGATCTTCAGTTCTAAGCAAAACTGTATGTAGTCTGAAAAGATTACTGAGCTCATCAGAGCCTTTTCAACCACATACAGCAAAAGTGCCTTTTTGCAAATACGAACAATATTTAAAACATAAACAATATGAATGTTTCTATGTTGTTCAACTAGCTAAAATGAGTTAGTACTGGAGACACTTGTAAATCCATTTGAAATTTAGGTCCTTATAGATCTAGTACAATTAAAAAAAAAAATCCTAACATGCCTATGAAATAGAATCCTAGCTGAAAGATCTTTAACCCACAACATAAACATTCCTTCAGCATCGTAGGCTTTCTTAGACTTGGCTTGTTTGCATTCGGGATTTGTTTTGTTCAGTGTCATATACATTCAAGGCAATACAGGATATACTATAATATCGTTATTTATGATTTACTTATTATCTGTCACCCACTGCTACTTGTTAGCTCAAAATGTCTTCCACGGAGAATCTACACAATAGATGTTAGCTAAGGTCAGATTAGCAAGACACTTAAGGCACACACTCTAGTGTCAGATAAATGCTGAAAAAAACTATTAAGCCTTAAATTTCCGAAAGATTCTCACACTAAGATGGGATCACCATGGGAACTAGAGACGTATTCCTTCTAGACAATGAAAGTGAGAAGGGTATCTGCCTTCCACTGAAGAACACTATAAATATCCCTTTCACAGAGGCGAACTAGCTGCTCCTTTGAAGTAAATATCCTCATGAAGTCCTCTATTTTCAGCCCAAAACAGGAGTCTTTGATGTCATTCTGCAACCCTGATAAATCCACCCCTGGTCTCAAACCTCTCTTGTCTGGCCAAATTTAGATTCATACTAATTCAATTCCAGTAAACTTCAAAAGTAGTGGTATCTTAGGGACATTTTAATTTCACTTTAACAAGTGATAAAGCCAACATTAAATACAGACAAACTCCTAAAGGCTTAGACAAACCCCACAGGTACCCCACATGTATAGTTCCAGATTAATCATTTTTGATATTTAAACATATTGTTTGTAATCTACTTAAGTAAAGGGCCCAAAAGAAAACATACTTTACTTTCTAAAACTGGTCCTCACTATCCAGCCGCTTTCTGGAAGTCTTGTCTGGTTCACTCGAAAATCTCTAAGGGCAATAATTTAATACCTTATCACATGACATCATACCAGGTGAACCTTAACATAATTTCAAATCAAGAAAGGCAACTGCTGGGATCCCTGGGTGGCACAGCGGTTTGGCGCCTGCCTTTGGCCCAGGGCGCGATCCTGGAGATCCGGGATAGAGTCCCACGTCGGGCTCCCGGTGCATGGAGCCTGCTTCTCCCTCTGCCTGTGTCTCTGCCTCTCTCTCTCTCTCTGTGACTATCATAAATAAACAAAAATTAAAAAAAAAAAAAAAAAGAAAGGCAACTGCCCACACTTAGAAAACAACTTCTCTAGTCAATCACAGAGAGACATTAAGGGCAATTGCAAAGTGCAGAAAATCATACACTTTTTCTCAGCACATCTGCAGTGTCCGTTTGGCTAGACTCCTCCACGCAAGAGCCCAGTCTCTTCATATGCTGTGCTCAGTTAAACTGGACAATTCTGAATGATTTGAACTCACTTTGGAAAAAAAACATCTTTTACTTACATACTATAAAACTGGGTTTTATTTGTCACAAGGGTCATGCTGCGGGCCCCCATCCAATTTATAGTGAAGGACGGCAAGGAGCATTTTATCCCAGAAAGATACTTCGAAAAACTAGTTCTCTGTCTTGACCATCGCCTTCAGTTTATCCTTCACATCCACCATAACCATGCTGTATAAAATTGCAACCCACACCTGTACCCTCAGGCCTTTTTTTTTTTTTGCTCATCTTTTTCATTTTTCATAGCACTTATAATTTTCTAAATAAGTAACCACACACGTTTACTGTCAATCATTCTTTTCTAGAATGTAAGCTCCAGAGGGAGGGATCTTTGTTTCTCTTGTCACTGACATATCTTTCTTTTATTTTTAAAGATTTTATTTATTCATGAGAGAAACACAGAGAGAGGGAGAGAGAGGCAGAGAGAGAAAGAAGCAGGCCCCATGCAGGGAGCCTGACATGGGACTTGATCCCTGGTCTCCAGGATCAGGCCCTGGGCTGAAGGCAGCACTAAACCACTGAGCCACCCGGGCTGCCCTCACTGACAGATCTTAAATACCTGGGCAGGACCTGATGCAAAGCAGTCACTCAGTATCGGTTGAATGAATAAACGGATCCACATTGAGAATTCAGTACAAACTGTATCTGCGGGCAGATTTCAGCTTCATTTATGCAGTTAACAAATGTCTCCTGTGCTCTGAGTATGGGGGAGACAGAGCCTACCGCACGAATACATACCATGGGACAGTGACAAGTGCTATCAAGCCAAAGGGAACAAACTGGGGAAGAGGTCGGAAGGAGAGCAGTGGCTGTTTTAAATGACTGAGTCACCTCTCTGCAGTGATGGCAATTGTTCTGGGCCTTGAATTAAGACAGGTGCCATACATATTTGGGTGGAGGGGGAAAATGGGCTTTGAGCGTGGAAAAAAACAATAGCAAGGCTCAGAACAATTGCCTCGCCCTAGGGTGGAGGCCCACGTGGTAATAAGCCCAGTAAGCCCAATGAGGCCGGCCTGGTGGAACTGGGGTACGCAAGAATGTAGGATACACATTTGCCTTTACCTGCTACTGAGTAACCTGTAGGTATGGATCCACTGACGTATCCACGCACACGGCCTAATGCCCCGGGCAATAGATTACCTCTTACCTGGAGTACTCGGGCTCCTCCCGTACTCCAGCCCCCAAATGCCTGCATCAGCACATCGTGTAAGAGGACCAGGCACGGTAGTGACGTGGTCAAAAACCGCTCCAAGCAGCCTCAGGAGGCCCAAGGAGCAGGAGGGGGCGAGGCCAGGCTAGGGCCGGGGCCAGGTCCGGGGAGGTGCAAAGCCCGGAGGCTCCTAGAACCGGGCCGGGTCTGGGTAGATGCAAAGCGCAGAGACTCCTAGAACCGGGCCGGGTCTGGGTAGATGCAAAGCGCAGAGACTCCTAGAACCGGGCCGGGTCTGGGTAGATGCAAAGCGCAGAGACTCCTAGAACCGGGCCGGGTCTGGGTAGATGCAAAGCGCAGAGACTCCTAGAACCGGGCCGGGTCCGGGAAGGTGCAAAGCCCAGAGGCAACTAGGACCGGGCCGGGTCCGGGGAGGTGCAAAGCCCAGAGGCTCCTAGAACCGGGCCGGGTCCGGGGAGGTGCAAAGCCCAGAGGCTCCTAGGACCGGGCCGGGTCCGGGGAGGTGCAAAGCCCAGAGGCTCCTAGAACCGGGCCGGGTCCGGGGAGGTGCAAAGCCCAGAGGCTCCTAGGACCGGGCCGGGTCCTGGGAGGTGCAAAGCCCAGAGGCTCCTAGGACCGGGCCGGGTCCTGGGAGGTGCAAAGCCCAGAGGCTCCTAGGACCGGGCCGGGGAAGTGCAAAGCCGGGAGCACCGAGAACCGGGCCGGGTCTGGGTAGATGCAAAGGCGGGAGGCTCCTAGAACCGGGCCAGGTCCTGGGAGGTGCAAAGCCGAGAGGCTCCTAGAACCGGGCCGGGTCCTGGGAGGTGCAAAGCCCGGAGGCTCCCAGAACCGGGCCGCGTCCTGGGAGGTGCAAAGCCCAGAGGCTCCTAGAACCGGGTCGGGTCTGGGTAGATGCAAAGGCGGGAGGCTCCTAGAACCGGGCCGGGTCCGGGGAGGTGCAAAGGCGGGAGCACCGAGAGCCGTGCACAGGGGCGGTGGGATGGGCGCCCGCGAGGCGCGTCGCCCCCCGGCCGCGCGCGACCCCTGCCGCCTGCACCGCGCGCCGAGCGGCCCCGGCGGCCCCGGGACTGTCCCGGCCGCGCTCCGCTCCGCCCCGGGGTGCGACTCCCCCGAGCACGGAAACAACAAGTCCGCGGCGAACTCGCCTTCCAGCCGCGGCCGCGCGGCGCGCTTGCAAAGTTTGCAGCGTCCGGAGGCCTCCGCTTCCCGGGGCCGAGCAGGGCAGGACCTTCCGGCTTCGGGCGCGGCTCGGGGCGCCTCCTCGCACCCGCGCGGCAGCTCCGCCCCGCCCCGCCCCGCCCGGCCCGGCGAGCGGGGCCGTCCCTCCTCTGCGGACCCCGGTCGGGGTCGGGGGTCGGGGGTCGGGGGGTCGGACCCGGGGCTGCGGGAAACGCTTTCCGGGCCCCCACGCCGCGGGGGCAGAGACCAACGCGGGAGGCGCCCCACGCGGGCGCAGGCCGGGGGCGGGGCGGGCGACCCCCGAGGCCCGCGCACCTTCCGCGCACGCGCAGCGCCGCCGGGCCCGCGGCCGGGGGAGGGGCTCAGCGCCCGCGCCCCGCCCCCCGCCGCTTCCCGCCCCCGCCCCTCCCCGCCCCTCCCCGCCCCCGCCCGCGGCTCTGCGCACGCGCGGCGACGCCTCGGCCTCGGCCCCGGGCCCGGGCGGGGGCGCAGGGCGGGGGCGGCTCGTCCGCGGGCGCCGCGCCCCGGGCCGGGGGAGGGGGCACCGGGGCCCGCCCGCTCCCAGCGCCGCGCCCCCTGCGGACCGCCGCCGCCGCCGGGTCGCCTACCTCCGCGCAGCCCGAGCCGCGGCCGCCCGCCTGCTCCGCCGCCCTTCCTGCTCCGCCGGGGCCCGCGCGGCCACCGCCTGCGCCTCCCCCGAGGGCCCGGTCTCGGCGGCTCGCGCTCCGGTGCGGGGCTGGGGCGGGCAGGGGCGGGCAGGGGCGGGCAGGGGCGGCGGGCGCGCCGGGGAGGGGGCGGCACGGCGCCTCGCCCCTCCCCCTCGCCGCCCCCGCCCCCGCCCCCGCCCCCGCCCTGCTCGCAGCCGCCTCCCGCGCAGCTCCCCGCCCGCCCCGGCCGCCCCCGCCCTGGGCCCCGCTCCCACCGCGCGGCGGCCCCGCGGGCTTGGCGCTTTGGAGGTGCCCGGCCCGGGAGGTTGAGGCGCGCGTGGGCATCCTGTCCTGCGGCCCGGTCCCCGCTCCGTCCCCGAGGTCCTCCCCGCTCCGTCCCCGAGGTCCTCCCCGCTCCGTCCCCCGGGGTCCTCCCCGCTTCGTCCTCCGTGGTCCTCCCCGCTCCGTCCTCGAGGTCCTCCCCGCTCCGTCCTCCGAGTCCTCCCCGCTCCGTCCCCCGGGGTCCTCCCCGCTCCGTCCTCCGAGTCCTCCCCGCTTCGTCCCCGAGGTCCTCCCCGCTTCGTCCTCCGAGTCCTCCCCGCTCCGTCCCCCGAGGTCCTCCCCGCTTCGTCCTCCGTGGTCCTCCCCGCTCCGTCCTCGAGGTCCTCCCCGCTCCGTCCCCCAGGATCCTCCCCACTCCGTCCCCCGGGGTCCTCCCCGCTCCGTCCTCGAGGTCCTCCCCGCTCCGTCCCCCGAGGTCCTCCCCGCTTCGTCCTCCGTGGTCCTCCCCGCTTCGTCCTCCGAGTCCTCCCCGCTCCGTCCCCGAGGTCCTCCCCGCTCCGTTCCCCAGGATCCTCCCCACTCCGTCCCCCGGGGTCCTCCCCGCTCCGTCCCCGAGGTCCTCCCCGCTCCATCCCCCAGGATCCTCCCCACTCCGTCCCCCGAGGTCCTCCCCGCTCCGTCCCCCGAGGTCCTCCCCGCTTCGTCCTCCGTGGTCCTCCCCGCTTCGTCCTCCGAGTCCTCCCCGCTCCGTCCCCCGGGGTCCTCCCCGCTCCGTCCCCGAGGTCCTCCCCGCTTCGTCCTCCGAGTCCTCCCCGCTCCGTCCCCGAGGTCCTCCCCGCTCCGTCCCCCAGGATCCTCCCTGCTCCGTCCCCCGGGATCCTCCCTGCTCCGTCCTCCGAGGTCCTCCCCGCTCCGTCCCCCAGGATCCTCCCTGCTCCGTCCCCCAGGATCCTCCCTGCTCCGTCCTCCGAGGTCCTCCCCGCTCCGTCCTCGAGGTCCTCCCCGCTCCGTCCCCGAGGTCCTCCCCGCTCCGTCCCCGAGATCCTCCCCGCTCCGTCCCCCAGGATCCTCCCCACTCCGTCCCCGAGATCCTCCCCGCTCCGTCCCTGGGGTCCTCCCCGCTCCGTCCCCCGGGGTCCTCCCCGCTTCGTCCTCCGGGGTCCTCCCCGCTTCGTCCTCCGGGGTCCTCCCCGCTTCGTTCTCCAAGGTCCTCCCCGCTTCGTCCTCCGGGGTCCTCCCCGCTCCGTCCCCCGAGGTCCTCCCCGCTCCGTCCCCGGGGTCCTCCCCGCTCCGTCCCCCGAGGTCCTCCCCGCTCCGTCCCTGGGGTCCTCCCCGCTCCGTCCCTGGGGTCCTCCCCGCTCCGTCCCCCGAGGTCCTCCCCGCTCCGTCCCCGAGATCCTCCCCACTCCATCCCCGGGGTCCTCCCCGCTCCGTCCTCCGAGGTCCTCCCCGCTGTGTCCCTGGAGGTCCTCCCGGCTCCGTGTCTGGAGATCCTCCCTTCTCCATCCCCGGGGGCCTCCCCGCTCCCTCCCTAGGGGTCCTCCCTGCTCCGTCCCGGGAGTCCTCCCCGCTCTGTCCCTGGGGATCCTCCCTGTTTTCTCCCCTGCTCCTCACCCCCTGCTGTGGGGCCCCAGCCCTGGCCCCTTCTGATAACTGCGGAATGTTGACATGATGACAGGACGCGTGACCTGTCTGGAGGGGTGCCCGGAGTTGCCCTGGGGCAAGGGCTTCTGGGCCGACCACACTACCCTGTACTAACTCGGCAGTGCCTGTGTTACCCTGCGCTGCTGCTGGCCTCCGAAGCTTTTAGCAGAATGCACCAGAGCCTTAAAATATGTGGAAATTTCTCCCCCTTTACTACACTCTCGTTCACCTGAGTTGGGTTTGGGTAAAATGCTCCACAGCTACTGCTGCTAACGTCCTGTGCGGTTAGCTGAATGCTTTTACGTTGGTTTTTTTTTTTTTTTTTTTTTAAAGGAGGACACAGGTTCAAGGGTTTAAATGATTGACCAGAAAGCACAGACGGATAGACTGAGATGTCACCCCACAGTGAGCGCTTCGGTTGTATTTGGTCTGGCCTTTGTCATTCACTGGGGAAACATCCTTCCAGAGTGTCTCGCTGTTTTTATTGCAGCTACTGTAGTCGGCGGGCACATCTGTGGCCACAGGATAGTCGGTTAAAACCCAGGAGGAGGCTTGCATTTACTTGAGTCTATAAGTCACCAGCAGGGCAGGAATCTTACGTGCATGGCATTGCCTAAAACCAGCTTTTCCCCTGAAACCATCAGTTACGCTTTTGGCCTCTTAGTATAAAAGGTAACAACGTGACCGTAATTGAAAGAACAGCTTGCGTTTTTTATTTGAAAAGGCTGATTCCGAGGAACTCCTTTCACAGTGTGTATCTCAGGGAGAAGGTGGAGGGACTAAGGAAAGCAGTAAGAACCCGTGGAGTGATCACGAAACCTACCTTCCTTTTACTATTGGTGATTTCTAGATCTCACTAGATTGTGAGACTCTTGAGAGCACAGATCATGCCTGATTTCTGTGTGCCATAAAATCCCTATAAATGTTTGTAGAATCAAATTACATTGACGACATGCCCTTAAGTTCCTCAAATTTGCTTCCATACTTCACTGAGACCTAAACATGAGCCTTACTCCAAGGTTTACTCTCATTTTGGGTTGTTGGTGCGGGTTCTCCTGGGCTTGACTGCGTGGGTAAGTCGACCCCTTAAGAGTCCTTGAAACCTAATCCCAAAAGGCTCTAAGTCACCTTTTCTTATACCCTGTTAGCTCTCTCAGGCTTCCTCTCCTTGTGGCAAAGCTGCAGAACGCGGAGTCTGCACTTAATTTAAAAAAAAAAAAAAAAATCCACTGAGTTATCTTTCTGTTTAGGAAAAGGTTTTTTCCTTTGATCACCACCAAAGCTAAAACTCATCATTAAACAAGTTTGGAGCTGGTTCATTAAACAGGAATTTTCTAATTCAAACACTCAAGTTCTCCTGTCACCTCTTTCCTTTATCCCGACTATCTTGTACGTAAGGCATTTTAAGAACTTTGAGTCATTGTTTAGAGAGCAAAATTATAGAAAACAACGTTCATACAGAATGTAATGCATAATTTACAAATCAACCTGTACAATAATTCTTCCCCTGCAGGTATGATGCTCCTTTACAACTTAGTATTCTAAGATTGCAGTGGCTTTAAAAATAAAATAATTTTTAAAAGTCCTGAAGTTCTTAGGACTTTTTAAAGGTCCTAAGATTATTCCTAAATGATAAGAAATAATAAGACATTTTATAGCATAGACTTTCTCCTGGTTCTACCATGAAACATGTTGCTAATGGAGAACTTAAGATGTGATTATAGCAAGAATGACCAGAACAGAGTTGGTGACTTCTATAATGTTTCTTTGTATTATTCTAAAGCTGCGGGATTAAATGTAAATCCTCATTTTATAGATGCCCAGATCATGAAGTAATTTGTCTCAAATCTTCGGATTCATAGTTTCAGTGCTTTTTCCAATGCATCATCTCACTCATAGGACAAACACCAAGATCTCATTATCCATCAAATGAATGGTAACAACAACGCCTTGCACAAGATGAGAAGGTGCAAGCATTTCTCATAGAATTTCTAAGAGGAAGAAATTCTTTTTTAACCTTTTACTTTACAATAATTATAGATTCACATGAAGTCACAAAAATAGTATAGGGAGGTCCGATGCACCTGCCCCCACCTTCCCTCACTGTGTTTAAGATAATAATGTGCTGCAAACACTAAGATAAAGCAAAGCCTTGGATTGAATCAGCTGACCAAACTGTGGGAAAACTAACGGGCCAGAGGCTGAAGGTTGAAAAAGACTGTTTGGGGGCCAGGAGTCTGAATGAGGGGAGCTGTTCCAGAGAAAAGGGGGAGAGGAAGGGAGAGGGGGAAGGAGACCATTAAACACAACACATTCCTTGGTGGGGACAGAAGTGATAGCCTCTATACCAGACAGATATTTGTGTGTGTGTGTGTGTGTGTGTGTGTGTTTCTTTTGGTCTATTATTTCATCATTTATCATTTCTTTTAAAATATTCCAAAAAAAATATTCCAGATAATGTCCTTACTATCAGAACCTAGATTCCTGCAGGTCCATAGCTGAGAAATACAGCAAGGTTACTATAAAAAAAAAAAAAAAAAAAAAAGACTTTCTGACTCCGTCTAAGGGCAACCTTGTAGGAGTATTAGCCCCTCTTTGAAGCCCATGGGGGCGGGGAAGATGGAGTGTTATACTGTAATGCCGTAGATACCATGTGGCATCCTCCTTCTTTGCCTCTCCTCAGTGGGGACAGGAGACCCTCCTTGGGGTCCTGGCTACTCCCAGTTGTATGGGAGCGAGTGTGCCCAGGCCGCTCTGGTGCAGAAGGCACAGCAGCAGCACTGCCCAGCTCTGCGTGCTTTAGAGACAGATCGTTCATATTGTGGTTTCCAGACACTTCCTCTTCACCGTGGCATATGGCAAGCTGTATCCCAGCCTGGTACCAGGATATAAAGCAATGAAGATGATAAGATACATGTACATGTTATTGTGGCAATAATGAGAGAACAACAGACTCCCAGGAGGAGGACGAGAAAGGCTTCCCAAAGGAAAAAGACTTTGGCATTAAGTTTTAAGGATGTGCACGAGTTAGCTAAGAGAACAGACATTAGGAGTGGGGATGCTAGGGAAAGGAAGCATTGGAAAGAATATGATGTGCTTGAGGATTGTGAGCTGCTCAACAAGCAGCACAAAGGATATGTGGAGGGGACAGTGATGGCAGAGGAGGAAACTCGCAATAATTCCTTGAGTGCTTTCTTGAGTTGTCCTCTTCGTAGCACATTATCTTAAGTTAGTCCCTACGATAAACTGCGACTTAACTTCGGCCCTGTTTTACAGATGAAATAGTAGAGACTTAACTAACTTGCCTAGGGTCACACAACTAGTGAGAGGTTTTAAATTTGTCCTTTGACTCAATAATCCCAGCTTTAGGAATTTATTCATATGAAAAGATAAACGCAGAAAGGTGTATAGCATTTTTATAATTGGGAAAAACAGAAAGCAAACTTATATATACTATAACCAACTGGTTAAAGGATGGCAAATACTGTTGATAGTCCACCTAAAGGCTACCCTCTCTTTCTTTCTCTTTCTTCCTCTTTTCCTTTATCTTTGTACTTTTTTTATTTAGGGAAAATTTCAAACATATACAAAAACAGTGATTCAGCTTCATCTATTAGCAATTCACAGCCATATTTGTCTTATCAGTACTTCTCTCCACCACCATATTATTTTGGAGCATCTTATCATTTCATCTGTAAATATTTCAGTGGATGTTTCCTAAAGATAAGGAGCCTCTTTTTAAAAAACACCCAAAATACTATTACGATACTTTGAAAAACCAGCACTAAGTCCTTGATCACGAAGGATCCTTTTCAGAGTTCAGCTTTTTAATTACCTTGCAAGTACCATTTATGGGTTGGTTTGTTTATCAGTTTGAGTGACTTGGAATTCAAAGTATACACATTGCAATTGGTTGATGTGTCTTTCAAGTTTCTTTTAACTCTCCAGCACCTTTTGTTTCCTTTGGAGACACCAGGTTCTTTGTCCTCTAGATCTTCCAAAATCTGGAATTTCCAGAAGGCAGTTCCCATATATTTCCCATAAATTAGTAATTGAGAACCTTGATTATATTCGGGTTTTATTTTTTACTTTTTTGGCAAGATGACTTCTTAGATGGTGTTGTATCCTTCCATCAGGAGGGATGGAATGTTAGATTGTTTCTGCGGTGTCAGTATTTGTTGAAACTCAATGCCCATATCCACACCGTACTGAGTTTGGGCTGCTGAAGTAGATACTAATGTAATTCAGTCCATGTTCACCATTCAGTAATGGTGAAATCCTAACTCTTATCATATCTTCTTCATTTATTAGCTGGAATACGTACGTCTATAGAGGAGCAATACTTTCCTCAATGACTTGATTTCCCAGTGATACAGGACAAACATGACTCTCTTTTAACTTGCCAGTTTTCAAAATAATGAGTTGTTTCACCAGCCTGCTCCAACAGTAACCAAATGTTGGTATCATTGTGAATTCATGGATTTAAACTTGCTTCTTGTGTTTCATCTCCTTTGTCTTGCTCACAGAACCCTGTTTTTGTTTAGGAAGTAGTGCAATCAGTCACAGAGAAGAAATCCCAGCGTGACTGACCCTATCTTATCAATTCGTTCTCATTTGGCAGTGTCTAGGGTGGGCTTATAACTGGTCCTGACTGTAGACACATATGAGGAAAATAACTTCCAAGACAGATCCCTCTACCTACTCAAGTACCCCCCTTTTTCTCTCCCATCCCTCTGGCCCCAGCTTTTTCATATACCACAGGAGGACTTGATGTTTGGAGAGCTGCTACTCAAGCTTGGAACGTCTCAGTGGATACATGAGATACATAGGCACGATTATGAATATTAATATTTCAGATCTAGACTTACTGATAGAGAACGGTATCTATTCTATATTGCTGATATACATATCATTAAAATTATTCACATACGATTGAACACAAATGCATGTATTTACACCAAGACCTGCCTGGAATTAAGTTCATTGAAGTATTAAGAGTGTTCATCTCTGACTGATGAGAGACTGGTGAATTTCCACTTTTTTTGTTGTATTTTTCTATAAGGTATAAGGCTCATACATTTTTATGTAAATAATAAACTTTTTGGAAAGTATGATTCTGGGCAATTCTCACTTCATTCATGTTACTTACAGTGAATTCTTGTAAAAAAAATATACCCCATCACAAAAATTCTTTTTTATAAGAATAACTGGCATCACATCACATGATTTTTCTCCATAGTGTAATTGTAAGGCAGGAAATGTTTTGATTCTGGAATAACATTTCCTGATAAACATTTTTTGGAAACATTTTAAGCATTTCCTGATCTGAACATTTTTGCAATTTTTTTCCTTCGTGGATCTTATTGTTATAATTAACAATACTGTCTAGCCCAGTGGGACATAATCATCCTGTTGAAGAAAAAACTTTCAGAAAAGCACAAGTCTTATTAGAGACCTTTTCCAGTCACCAAGAAAATACCATTGGCACAATTTTCACTTAGTAGTGTAAATAATAATGAGTCTCCCTTTAGCCTACACTTAAGAAGTTCCAATTTCTTTGGTACATTTAATTCTCCCAAGAAACTGCATATTCTTAAAACCAAAAAGATATTTTTTAAAAAATCTAGGCCTCCAGAGTAAAAGTGGAAAAGGGCCTTTTTTCCTATTGTTACTTACCTTTTATGTGGCTGGCTCCGTCAGCGCATCAGCACAGGAAGCCAGAGCTATGCCAACCACAACAGCAATTAAAGGAAATAGAACCAACAGCTCTCTAGGCTCACATGCTGCACACCCCGTGTTACCCTGGTTGCCAGAGCAACTTCAACAAAGGAGATAATCTTGCTCTCCTGGACCTCATCATCTACCGTGCGGAAATGCCCTGAAGACATGCCACGAGATAAGGTTGGAGATGAGTCTAGAAAGGCCATTCCTTGAGGACATTGATGAATTTTAAAGAGAACAGTCACAGTCACCAGGATGGCATGAGGGGGACAGAAGGATGTAGGGAAACAAATGGAGAAGTGGCTGCAGGAGCTGAGAGGAGAGAAAATGCAAGCTTGAATTTGAGCAGTGATTTTGGGATGGAGAGGAGGGAAGAAAGGAGGGAGCAAGCAAGTACTGTAAGTAGCCTCTCGTCCTCTCTTAACATCAGTGGAGTCTTCAGCAAGGTTCACTGTATCTCAGCTAGGATATGGGAAACTGAGAGCAAGGTTTCTTCTACCCACCCTGGGCTCAGAGCTCTGAAGGAGGAAGAGCTTACTCCTTCCTGGCAGCCAGCATGGAAATGGTGAAACTCTGTGCCAAGTCATCTGCGGGTTTGTTGTGTGCTCTGATAGATCCATCATCTCCTGATGATTGACAGTAGCACTTAGCTCCCACTACAGGTGGGGATGTGGCCTTGACCCCAGTGTAGATAGAGTTGGCTGTCAATCCCAAAGCCATATCATAGCCTTGATATTTTCTCCCTATTCTGACCTCAGAGTCTTCAGTGAGGTGATAGTCCTCACACCCTCAGCTGGGAGTATTATAACTTCTGCAGTGGACCTGGTCGTTTGCAGCCTTCTTGGGTAACGGCTCTTCACTCAAGTTGCCTTGGAGGGGACAGACGGTCTTGAAGCCTGGTCAAAGGTCAGACAAACGTGCCTCTGACGTTTCGGCAACAACAGGAACTCAAAACTCGTGTTGCCCCTCCAACCTGAACCAATGTTGGTCTGAGAAAATATTGTAGCATATCTGCAACCTTGAGGGAAAGGCTGGGCCTGTCTCCCTGCCAAGCCGTTCAAGAATCAGGATCATAGATCTGCTCTGGGTCAAGAATGCTGTGCCCACCAGTGAAAATACAAAGCATGGGTCAGTGAGAAAGTATAAGAGAAATTTTGTTGAGATTCTGCTATTTAGAACTGGTGTCTATTTAACCCTGCCCCCCTCCGAGATTCCTATCCGTGTGCTAGTTGCTAGCCAGGGTTTCGTGTCTCAGCCCCAAGTCACCAGAGAAGACTTGGAAACCAATTCACAGTCTCATTTTGCAAGGCTTGGTATAATGTTTCTAAAACTCAGTAGTGTAGTCTGAGCTGACGATGTCATGCATATCACAGTGAAATGAGGAACAAAATGAATTTTTTTTTAAAGATTTTATTTATTTATTCATGAGAGACACACAGAGAGAGGCAGAGACACAGGCAGAGAGAGAAGCAGGCTCCATGCAGGGAGCCCGATGTGGCACTCGATCCCGGGTCTCCAGGATCAGGCCCAGGGCCGAAGGCGGCACTGAACTGCTGAGCCACCAGGGCTGCCCCAAAATGAAATTTCTAACTCTTTCTGTACATTGAAATAATTTCCTGTGTAGTAAGTTGAGGTACGGCTACCTTTCAGGGTTCCTAAAATTAAAATTAGGAGAAAGGGCTGTAGAATAGTTCTGACCGTCTTCCCTAGAACCACCTAGCCTGGCGTATGGACTGTGTGTGGAACCCCTGTCCCAACATCACCACCCAAGTGGCTATCAGTCCCACTCCCAGAGGACTTCCCAAGCAGCGTATAGAAGGAAAACTAAAGAATGGGACTTTCGGCAAATTAGGAATCAATTATTAGTCAATGGTTTATAACAGGGCTGCAAGATAGGCAGGACGGACACCATCAGGAAGCCAGAAGATGGGACAAGGTGCTGCCTGACTGTGGCTGTCTTCTGTGTTCTCTTATACTCGTCCCTTACCTCACTTCACTTCTTTTTGCAATCTCTTTCCACAGGATTTGACAGGGCTTTCTTTGGGACTTCTCTATGGTTAGGATTCGACAGCAGCTCTTCTCTGGCTCAGCTCTGTGATTCAGTGTCCTTTTTGTCTCTCCACAAACCCTGTTTCCAACCCTTCTACCTCTCGTGATCTCCATCTGTGACTAAGGACGACCTCCTATTTCATGCATCAGAATGTCCCGGGCCTAGTTTAACCAGTCTTCCTGGTTCCCACGGCCTCAACTCCCTTTCCATCTGGGGCCACTCAAACTAGCTCATGGTTCACGTGTGTCTCCCTCATCTCCCTAAAAGCTCAGAGAGATCCCTCCCCCAAAGAGACAATCCTCAGGAAGCTCACCGATTCCCTTTTTTGTCTTTAGGGCTTGGGACTTGATGATTGATTATTCTGACACGAGGGACGCGCTTCCCAGCCCTCCTTGGAGGATACAGGGGATCCCTGACTGCATACATCCCGGAATGGGGAATTGTGTTTTGGCAACAATGCCAGAAAGCCAACACCTCTGAGCTGTGAATTTCTCTACTGTTCACACAAAGAGTGTGGAACCTTGCATCCAAATTATTTTCAGACAAACATTGATGTTTTCAGCATTGTCCCCCAAGCTACTGTCTTAGCACATCTCATTTGCCCTGAGCTGATTTGACTTTAGAAATAAGTTAGTGAGGGACGCCCGGGGGGCTCAGGGGTTGAGCGTCTGCCTTTGGCTCAGATCATGATCCCGGGGTCCTGGGATGGAGTCTCACATTGTGCTCCCCGCAGGGAGCCTGCTTCTCCCTCTGCCTGTGTCTGCCTCTCTCTCGTGTCTCATGAATAATAAATAATCTTAAAAAAAAAAAGAAATGTTAGTGGTAAGACATGAACAACAGAAAATGATTTGACATGTGGAACTATGGCAACAAGGAGAAAAGAAATGAGCGTTTATTGAGCACTGGCAATGTGCAGGCACCAGGCACAATTCATCATAATCATAGTATTTACCGTATGCACATCATGTGCAAGGCACTGGGCTAAGCCCTTAGAGATGACCTAATTTACTTTTCACAGCAACCCCATGAAATAAGCACCGTGTCACTGTCCTCATTTTGTGAATGAGAAACTTAAGCTTAAAGAGGTCAAGTAACTTGCTCAAGATGAGCAGGGTTTCAAGTCGAGGCGTGTCTGAATCCAAGATCTACCAAGTTTTCTCTCTCCCTGTTTCTCTCTCAACTTTTTATTAGACTTCTCATAGGTTTGTCTGTTTTATTGCTCTTTTCAAATAATCAACTTTTGGTACTGATGACTAATTCTGCTTTTCTTCCTGTTTTATTATTTTCCGCTTTTATTCTTATTGATCTGCTCCTTCAGCTTTCCTTGAATCTGTGTTGTTCTAGCTTCTTGGGTCAATGCTTAGATCATTTGTCTCCTAACCATGTGTGCTTAAGGCTAAGAGTTCTCTTCTGAGTGTTATTTTGACTACAACCCACAGGATGTTCTCATTTTCATCATTTCTGAAGTGTAGGCTTTCAATTCTCATGTCCTCTTTAGCCCAGAAGGAATTTAGAAGTAAGTTTAGACAACTAGATTTTTTTTGAGGGAAGGAGTACTTAACCTTTGGTTATAGTTTTTCCTTGAGTACCTTAACAATTAAAATAGCAGTGTGTTTCTGATATGAAAAATGTGAATATCTTATTGCTACACTGAATTTTGCCATTTTCATTTATGTTGTTCTTCATTGGATGAGAAAGGCCATAAAGGAAAATAATAGGTGGCCCATTTCTTTATTATTTATATAGTTATTTACTTTTTTTGGGGGGGGGGCAGGTGGGTAATGTCTTTCTGCTAGAAGGAAGGCTCCATGAAGGCAGGGTCTTCTATTGACATTACTGAATTTTCAACATCCAGAACAGTGCCTAGCACATGATAAACATTCAATCTATCAATCTACCAATTGCTGTATTTACAGCTTTATTGAGGTATAATATTATACATATGTATGTATGATATGTAGGTATACATGTGTTTATATGTATATGTACAGCTTTACAGAGGTATACTTGACAAACAATAAACTGCACATATTTAAAGTGTACAATTTGCTAAATGTTGACATATTTATAAACTCTGGCAACTTTCACCATGATCAAGATAATGAACATGTGTTACCCCCAAAGGTTTCCTCATGCCTATCCACAATCTCACCACCCCTATCTCTCACTTTAACCTTTCTCCAAAAAACTACCTACTTCCTACTTTCTCCAAAAAACTTCCTACTTCCTGTTTATTTTTATCTTCTAGGTGTTAATTTAAGTGATATTATATAGCATGTACTCTTTTTTTTTTTTTTTTTAAATCTGGCTTCTTGGGATCCCTGGGTGGCGCAGCGGTTTGGCGCCTGCCTTTGGCCCAGGGCGCGATCCTGGGGACCCGGGATCGAATCCCACGTCGGGCTCCCGGTGCATGGAGCCTGCTTCTCCCTCTGCCTGTGTCTCTGCCTCTCTCTCTCTCTCTCTCTCTCTCTCTCTCTCACTGTGTGCCTATCATAAATAAATAAAAAAAATTAAAAAAAAATAAATCTGGCTTCTTTCATTTAGCATAATGATTTTGAGATTCATCCATTTTACTGCATGTATCAATAGTTCATTCCTTTTTATTGCTCATTAGTATTCTGTTGCATAGATACAACATAAATTGTTTATCTATGTACCTGTTAATGGATTGTTTCTAGTTTGGGGCTCTTACAAATAAAACTGCTGTGAACATGTATGTATAAGTTTTAGTATAGATATAGTTTTCTTCTTCCCTTAAGTAAATTCCTAGGCATGGAATGGCTGGATCACATGGTAGGAATAAGAATTGTTAAAATCTTTTCCAGAATAGCTGAACCATTTAACATTCCCAAGAGCAATATACGAGAATGTTATTTTACCCACATCCTCTCCAAAACTCAATATGGTCACTCTTTTAAGTTTTAGACATTCTAATAGATATGTGCTAGTAGCTCATTGTGGTTAATTTGCAATCCCCTAATAACCAATACTGAGATGGGGGGAACAGGCACTTTTATGTATTGTTGATGGGATCACACATTGGAACCTCTTTTTTGTATTGCAGACTGAATTTTGATAGTTCATTAAATATGAACAAATGTTGACATATTAATCTTATTTCTAGAAATCTAGAAACCTATTCTGTTATGAACTGGCATAAAAGCTATCAGGCTACACTCAGTTCTTGCCATAATTTTCTTCTGACTCAGAAGTGATATTCTTAGACCTTCTTGCTAGTTAATTTCTATCTCTCCAGGCCATGCATTCAACACTTTGGCAGTGATTGGAGTGTGTGAATTGTTTGGTCCTGCAGTGGTGGTTTCAATTAATATGCAACTAGAAATCTTAAAGATAGAAAACCTGATATAGTATAGCAGATTGGAGCTTTTCTTTTCTTTCTTTCTTTTTTTTTTTTTTTTTTTCATTTTTGCCTGCACAACACGTTTGGTCACAGCACTCCATTTCTCTTGGGGAATGCTTTCCCAATTCCACGTGGTCTGGATGTGACTATCCCACTATCACACACTGCCCATTACTCTGTGGCTGTGTTGTCATGTGACCCACTCATGGTCCATTATATGCTTGGTATACTGGTTGATATACGAATGGACACACAATTCAGCAGAAAAATAGTTTTCCTTTCGATTGATACTCAAATGTGAAGAGCCGA